AGACCAAGGGGGGGCATTTATGTCTCAAGAAGTCAAAACATTTCTCCATTCACAAGGAATACCAACAAGCCGAACAACATCTTACAATCCTGAAGGAAATGGCCAGACAGAAAGATATAATGGAATTATATGGAAAACTATTTCTCTTGCATTAAAATCTAAACATTTAAAAACTGAACAGTGGGAAGAAGTAGTTGAGATAGCTCTTCATTCAATTCGTTCTCTTTTGTGTACATCTACAAACAGTACCCCTCATGAGCGAATGTTTCATCATTCCAGAAAAGCTATAAATGGAGCTGCACTTCCTTCATGGTTGATAACCCCCGGAAAAGTATTTATGAAAAAAAATGTGAGGCAGTCCAAATATGAACCCCTCGTTGAAGAAGTACAGCTAATTGAAGCAAATCCAAACTATGCTGTTGTTAGACGTGAAGATGGTAAAGAAACAACAGTAGCCTTAAGACAACTTGCACCACGAGGAGATGCATCTCTGGACTGTGTTAGTGGATCGGAATCTGCGGTTTCTAATGAACAGTTTATCAAAGATCCACCAAGCCCTAGATTGAGTATATGTGAGGAAAATCCAAATATTTCTCCTGTTAACATTCTGGAAGATCAAGGTCATATTGAAAGTGTTTTAGAGGAAGAAAATAAACACAGTCTTATTAGAAGAGGTACCAGGGAAAGAAACACTCCTGCTTACCTTAAAGACTTTGTTCAAAAATAAAGTTGGGGTGAATGTCCTGTGGTCTGTGAACTGTGTTTGTCATTTGTCATCTTAGTTTTAGTTAATGTCATATGTAATTGTCATGTTATTCATTCAAACAAAACAATGCTAATTTCTTGTATATTAAAACCTAGTTTATAAAGGTTTTGCATTTCATTACACTTTGTATTTAGTTTAATATTTTAATTAATCCGAATATACCTACATTACAATTTTTTTAAAATATCTTTTTAAGAGTAAATCATAAACTACGAACAACATGTCGGAAAAACGTTTTCAACAAAAAACATATTTGTAGAAACCGAGTTGCAGTAAATAGTTTTAAAACTATAGCAACAAGTGCATAGTGCATTTAAAAACAAAGCCACTGCATTGACTTCATTGCTTTGCACTTGTAAATGTAAGTTGAATATTTTCTTTGTACGGAAAGAAATAAAACTACGACGTCTCATTAAACACTTGAACTTTTATTATGATGTATATTACGCACTACATTTGAAGTCAACGAACTCACTGTACGATTCTCTGCATCTGTTCTGTAAAGGTTTTTAGAGATGAATTAAAAAGAATTGATTGTATGTGGTATCAGTCGGGTTTATCTAATAATAGCACCTAAATTAAGCCCAATTTGATTCAATGAAGTTTGATTCATTATGATAGGAATTCACCAACTGTTTTGTTTTTGTATTAAGATTGATGTAAAGGACACCGCATCACTTAAGTGGAAAACTAACATTTTAAGCACATTTTTAAATAAAAATATCGCCATTCTGGCACTATAGTCTTACAGCAATTAATATATATATTTTTTTATTATATTAACTACAACATTCTTCTTTAAGTGCCGTCTCCCAATCTACTGCTTTACGGCACAATTTACTACTTTACTTTATATACTGCTGCTCTAAAGAGTTATATAGAACTGCATTTAAACCAGTCCCTTAAATTCTTCAACCATGCCACTCTCCTTCTTCCTATTATCTTTCCTTGTATTATCAGCCTTAACAGTTCATATCCCTGTCCACTCATTACGTGTCCCAGATACTGTAACTTTCTTATTTTTATTGTGTTTATTATTTCGCATTCTTTGCCCATTTCTCGAAATACTTCCGTGTTAGTTTTCTTATGTGTCCATGCTATTCTAACCATCCTCCTGTAACACCACATTTCAAAGGACTGTAACTTCTTTATTTGTTCTTGCTTTAAAGTCCAACTTTTAAGTCCATATTGCAGTATCGAAAACACGTAACATCTCAGTGCTCTTACTCTCAGTTCTAATCTTTGTTGCAGATAATTGTTTTCATTTTTACAAACGCATTTCTTGCTATTTCTATTCTAGCTCTTATTTCGGTTGTTTGATCATTATTGTCTGAAATCCAGGTTCCTAGGTATTTGTATTTATCAACCCTGTCTATTGGTACATTTCCCAAATGTATATTTGTTGGTATATTTGTTTTGTTTGTTATTATCATGTATTTGGTCTTTGTTATATTCATTTTTAGTCCATATTTTTCACAGAAACTGTTTGTTTTGTTTAGCAGTAATTGGAGTTGTTCAGCAGATCTTGCCATAATCACGGTGTCATCTGTACATCTTATGTTGTTAATAGATCTTCCGTTAATTATTATTCCTTCACTTTGAAATAGTAATGCTTCTTCAAAAATGGCTTCACTATATACATTAGTTATTATTAGTAATGGGGACATAATACATCCCTGCCTAACTCCTCCCCTGATTTCAATTTCTGAACTGGGTTCGTTATCTATTACGATTTGTGCTCTTTGATTCCAGTAGAGGTTTGTTATTATTCGTAAGTCCCTGTGGTCTATGTTTTTTTGTCTTTAGAATTTGGACTAATTTTCATGCCTTACTTTGTCAAATGCTTTTTCAAAATCAACGTAACAAACATGCACATCAATATTCATATCCATGCATCTTTGAGCTAACACATTAAAAGCAAAAATCTGAACCCAAACTGATTATCATCTATTCCTTCTTCCAGTTTTTTATTTATACGACCATGCAGCGGCGGCTCGTGGCCTAAAAAGTGGTGAGATAAGAAAGCTTGCCAGAGTCAAAAGGAGTGTTGCAACTAGTTGCCAGTCGGTGAAGACGACTTTTTTATTTTTCTCAACTATCACTGCGACAGCCTGACGTCACGTTGCCATGGCTACTGTGAACGCTTATGCAGATGGTTTCGCATTTCAAAATGATATTCACCTATTCCTGAATCATACACAAGTGACACAGGTCAGGACTTGACCGTCAAGTACCTACCGCAGCGCTAATAAAGCTAGCTGTTTTTTTTAATTTTTAGATTAATTAAAAGAATAAATAATACTTTCGTAGAATTTATTTTTTATTTATTTGTCTCATTTAATTATATTTTTTTGGTGAACTCACCTTCACCTACTTCACCAATTTGAGAATGTGACTTATTAGTGATATTGTTCTGTATTCACTGCAATATTTATAGTTTGTATTTTTAGGAATAGCACAAAAGGTGGAGAGTAACCATTGTTTCGGTATGCATCTTTTGTATACTGAGTTAGATAAGTCTACTATAATGTGTAAGGTTTTATCATTTATGCATTTTAAGATTTCTATAGGGATTTGGTTTGGACCTAATGCTTTACCATTTTTGCTGTTTTTTAATTTCCTCTTCTAATATCTTTAAAACCTATCCTCTTCTTCTTCTATCTCCATCTGCTCTGTTCTATTGTCTTTGAATAGTTCATTGATGTATTCTGTCCATCTCTTTAATTTGTTGTTAGTATTCAACACAAGTTTCCCATTTGTATCTTTCAGTATTCCCGGTTTTCTTGTTCTATTGTTGTAAGTTAATTCTTTAATTTTGTGTTAAAACTATCATGTCTTTTCTGGTATTCTTCAATTTCTGCGCATTGTTCTCTTAACCATCGTTCTTTCGCTTTCTTAATTCTGTATTTACTATCTCGTTGGTATTAGCATTTCTTTTTGACTTTTATCTATTTCTGTCTTTATTAATAACCACTTTTTATCCCTCTCAGTATTTTGCACAATTTGTTCTTTAACATTCATTAATCCGTTGTTGATTTCATCAAACATTATGTAGATATGCAGATGGCACCGTGATTATAGGCATTATGGCAAGCTCTGCTGAACAACTCCAATTACTGCTAAACAAAACAAACAGTTTCTGTGAAAAATATGCACTAAAAATGAACATAAAAAAGACCAAACACATGATAATAACAAAGAACTTTGAAATGTGTTGTTACAGGAAGATGCTTAGAATAGCATGGACACAGAAGTATTGCGAGAAATTGGCAAATAATGCGAAATAATAAAACAAATAAAAATAAGAAAGTTACAATACCTGGGACACGTAATGAGGGGACAGCTATATGAACTGCTAAGGCTGATAATACAGGAAAAGATAAGAGGAGAAAGGAGTATAGGAAGCAGGAGAGTGTCATGGTTGAAGAGTTCAAGGGACTGGTTGCATTTCTATAAAACTCTTCAGAGCCGTAGTAGATAGACTAAAGAAAGTGATGATGATATCCAACCTCCGATTGGGAGACATCACTTGAAGAAGAAGAATATATTGTGATACAATACAGTAATACATTGGTTATTGATCAGTGTAGTAGTATCTAGGTGCTCGGAAGACTGACACCTCGGAAGCCTTGAAAAAAAAACATCAAAAAAGATGTCGAAAACTCAGTGCAATGATAATCGACGCGGTTTAACCCGAAAGACTGTTGAGTTTAATTGTTCTATCAGCAGAAATCTTTCGGAACATATATATTCATATATTATGTATGTGTTTTTGTGTATTCTGAAACCTAGCGCGACAAACACACCTATCTGAGATTTTAAACACCTATTTCACAATTATCTACCTATTGAGATTATGAGCTTTTATTAATATATTCAGAAATGCAGTTCTCTTCATAAAAAAAATTGATAATAAATAATTGGTTGATCTTAAGTATACACTGACATGTAGGACCTACAGTCTAACATCGAATCTGAACAACAAAGTGTAGAGGAGCTGCACTAAACACATTATGACTTCGTGGTTACAAAACAATTCAAAGAGATGACTAAACACGTTTTGATTTTTGGATTGGGGATCAGCTCCAGAAAATATTCTCCAAATGTGTTAAATTTAAAGGATAGAACTAACAAAAACCTTCGAATTATAAGGTCCCATGATACTCGCCTTGAAAGGTCTGTTGTCTGTAGTGGGACATTGTAATTTGTAATTTTATACTGAATAAAAAACGATAGGTATGATGGCTTTATTGACTAAACATTGGTTTTCATTCTTTTTTACTAACTTTTTTGTCATAAAAATAGAAAATACACTTTAATATTCTTATCTTATCACACATTTAATTGCAGCTTCATCTTTTAGGCAAACATTGAATAGTATTCCAATTGTCAGGCCATATCAGCTTCTTCAAATATTCTATCCTCTCACTGGCATACAATAAATTTGTCCATTCGTCTATTTTCATTATAGAGACGCTATAGCCCATAATTTCCAGATGTCTAATCTTCATTTGGTACGTTCCTCTTAAATGGCTGTAGAATCTTGTAAAGGCGTACTGGTGCACCAAAAGTAGAGCAACTCTGGAAAAACATTTACGTGTTAAATAATTTAATATATATATTATATATATATAATATATATATATATATATATATATATATATATATAATATATATATATATATATATATATATATATATATGTAAAGAATTATATCTTTTAGCGAAAGCCGCTATCGCTGTATGTATTAAATGGCCAACTATATGGCCTAGGAGACAAATTCGTTTAAACTTCCCGTGCTCGAATTGGTATCACTAAAGTGTTATGATCATTTCGGCCTATCCCAGCCATCGTCAGACACTTGGGCTGATACAAATTCAAACTCGGAAAGTAAAACGAATGTCTCCCAATCTTCACTACCGTGTAGTTAGCTTATAAAGGCGCCTCTATTTGAAGGCCGTGAACGAAACGATATGAATAATCGTTTTCTGTATCCTTTATGCTATGCGAAATGTGTAAAGAATTATATCTTTTAGCGAAAGCCGCTATCGCTGTATGTATTAAATGGCCAACTATATGGCCTAGGAGACAAATTCGTTAAACTTCCCGTGCTCGAATTGGTATCACTAAAGTGTTATGATCATTTCGGCCTATCCCAGCCATCGTCAGACACTTGGGCTGATACAAATTCAAACTCGGAAAGTAAAACGAATGTCTCCCAATCTTCACTACCGTGTAGTTAGCTTATAAAGGCGCCCTCTATTTTGAAGGCCGTGAACGAAACGATATGAATAATCGTTTTCTGTATCCTTTATGCTATGCGAAATGTGTAAAGAATTATATCTTTTAGCGAAAGCCGCTATCGCTGTATGTATTAAATGGCCAACTATATGGCCTAGGAGACAAATTCGTTAAACTTCCCGTGCTCGAATTGGTATCACTAAAGTGTTATGATCATTTCGGCCTATCCCAGCCATCGTCAGACACTTGGGCTGATACAAATTCAAACTCGGAAAGTAAAACGAATGTCTCCCAATCTTCACTACCGTGTAGTTAGCTTATAAAGGCGCCCTCTATTTTGAAGGCCGTGAACGAAACGATATGAATAATCGTTTTCTGTATCCTTTATGCTATGCGAAATGTGTAAAGAATTATATCTTTTAGCGAAAGCCGCTATCGCTGTATGTATTAAATGGCCAACTATATGGCCTAGGAGACAAATTCGTTAAACTTCCCGTGCTCGAATTGGTATCACTAAAGTGTTATGATCATTTCGGCCTATCCCAGCCATCGTCAGACACTTGGGCTGATACAAATTCAAACTCGGAAAGTAAAACGAATGTCTCCCAATCTTCACTACCGTGTAGTTAGCTTATAAAGGCGCCCTCTATTTTGATAGGCCGTGAACGAAACGATATGAATAATCGTTTTCTGTATCCTTTATGCCTTTATAAGCTAACTACACGGTAGTGAAGATTGGGAGACATTCGTTTTACTTTCCGAGTTTGAATTTGTATCAGCCCAAGTGTCTGACGATGGCTGGGATAGGCCGAAATGATCATAACACTTTAGTGATACCAATTCGAGCACGGGAAGTTTAACGAATTTGTCTCCTAGGCCATATAGTTGGCCATTTAATACATACAGCGATAGCGGCTTTCGCTAAAAGATATAATTCTTTACACATTTCGCATAGCATAAAGGATACAGAAAACGATTATTCATATCGTTTCGTTCACGGCCTTCAAAATAGAGGGCGCCTTTATAAGCTAACTACACGGTAGTGAAGATTGGGAGACATTCGTTTTACTTTCCGAGTTTGAATTTGTATCAGCCCAAGTGTCTGACGATGGCTGGGATAGGCCGAAATGATCATAACACTTTAGTGATACCAATTCGAGCACGGGAAGTTTAACGAATTTGTCTCCTAGGCCATATAGTTGGCCATTTAATACATACAGCGATAGCGGCTTTCGCTAAAAGATATAATTCTTTACACATTTCGCATAGCATAAAGGATACAGAAAACGATTATTCATATCGTTTCGTTCACGGCCTTCAAAATAGAGGGCGCCTTTATAAGCTAACTACACGGTAGTGAAGATTGGGAGACATTCGTTTTACTTTCCGAGTTTGAATTTGTATCAGCCCAAGTGTCTGACGATGGCTGGGATAGGCCGAAATGATCATAACACTTTAGTGATACCAATTCGAGCACGGGAAGTTTAACGAATTTGTCTCCTAGGCCATATAGTTGGCCATTTAATACATACAGCGATAGCGGCTTTCGCTAAAAGATATAATTCTTTACACATTTCGCATAGCATAAAGGATACAGAAAACGATTATTCATATCGTTTCGTTCACGGCCTTCAAATAGAGGGCGCCTTTATAAGCTAACTACACGGTAGTGAAGATTGGGAGACATTCGTTTTACTTTCCGAGTTTGAATTTGTATCAGCCCAAGTGTCTGACGATGGCTGGGATAGGCCGAAATGATCATAACACTTTAGTGATACCAATTCGAGCACGGGAAGTTTAACGAATTTGTCTCCTAGGCCATATAGTTGGCCATTTAATATATATATATATATATATATATATATATTATATATATATATATATATATATATATATATATATATATATTAATAAACAACTTCAAAGCTTATACCAAGTGATGGAGAAAAAAAAGTTATAGTTAAATAACTCTGGTTGGCAATTAAACCATTGCATAAATTATAGCCAATGTCAGTTCTCCTAAAATTGTCTCCATTAACCTCTTAATGTAAGCATTACATAGACCAAAAGGCATAACCGTAAATAGAGGAAAACCTCTAAGGTAGAAATATCATCAAATTCATGGAAAGACAACAAAACAGTGTATTTGTTATCAACATATTCTTGAAAAGGAAAAATGGAGGGATACCGCAGAAAGACGAAGCAGAGAGCAAACATCGATCGCCAACCTCATGGATAGCCTAATTGGGCGTTACAAAAATATAGTTTTTTGTCATATGCTTGATATGACTATTGTAAATTCCTTGCTTTTGTACCGTCGATGCCTAACTGAAAGTGGAAGTGAAACGCCTTTGAAGCTTGCTGATTTTCGAGCCGAAGTTGCAAATTGTTTGTGCAATGTTGGATGTAATCGACTGCCAAAGAGGGGAAGGTCATCAGAATTGGAAAAACACGGTGTTAAAAAAAGGAAAAGATCAGCAACAACGAGTTACGTCCCACTCAAGGAAATCAGGATTGATGGACACTCACACTGGCTTTTATGATAAAGATGCAAGATTCCTAATTCTACTTCTTTTTCATATATAGACTGCTCCAAATGTGGTGTTTATTTTTGTCTCAACGAAAACAATAACTATTTTTATAAATTCCACAGTACTTTATGTTCTCTCCACGGTTATGAATTATTGTATATTTTAAACGCTATCATAAATGCTACAATCTCGTTTTTTTTTTAAATAAAGGTTATTGGATAACTAAATTTTCTATATTATTTTTATAACCTTAATATACAACCCAATACAGACTATATTTTTTGTGAAAATACAGACAATCCCGCATTATAGGGTTAAAGCAATGATAGATGAATTTGGATGTATTTACATAAATTTTTGCTATTCTACCTCTATATAACCTTACCAAAGCTTACCTTTTACTAATCGACTTCGAACTAGGAGACACTACACAGTCTTCTTTATTTAAACTTATGACAAAATCAATATAATATCCATACGGAGTGGTAATGCTTTCTAGTATATGATTTTCTGCTATCTCCACCAAATATTCCTTGATCGATTTGCTATATGTATATTCCATTTCATTATTATCTGAAAAAGAGGGAATGTTATTTTCTTTATTTTTCGTGTTATGGTTGGTAACAGCTACTCTGAATGTAGCAAATTAATGTCAACTATCGTTCAAGGCTGAAACGGCGACAGTCACCGACAAAGAAGCATTTCAATATATATGATACCAAGCAAAAACAGGGATAGTCTCAATGAACCATGCAGAAACTGGAAATTTCATGTCATTAGATGCCATGTGCTGTTAGCGGTTGCAGTAGTAAGAAAGGCTAGAATAATATTTTAATCTATTTATGTGTTTATTCTATTTATGACCTAATACTACCTTTAATGTCGTTTAATAGTAATCAATATTAAACGACATATCACACATAGTGTTTCAAGACATTTTGTGCATTTAATGTAATGCAACCGCCTAAGAAAAAAAGAAAAACTGGACGTATGACTGAAGTTATGAAAGGAGTATATGTTCAAGGTCATGAAATAGGTGATGACTGTAAATGCAAATGATTGCAATGTTTTGCAATAAAATTACAGAAGAGAATAGGCGTTTTATAATCAATCATTTTAATTCACAAACCTATAACGAGTAAAATTATTATCTGGTTGGTCTTATTTCTATGCTACCAGTTGCTCAAAGAAGAAGCAGGAAACCAGAAGAAGTCGCTAAATTAAATGATGCATCTTACTCATATACAGTTAGATAATATTGCCGATAAGAACGTAAAAGAAAGCGTTATGTGTTATTTAGAACTTATCTCTCTCCACGGTGTCACGAAAAAGAGGCTACAAACAATTCAATCCAGATTGCTCCAAAAGACAAACGAGGATTAATCAAAAAACCAAAGGAGGTAGTTGATTGTGTGATTAATCATATTAAATCTTTCAAGGGTAGAGAAAGCCTTTACAGCAGAAACAAAAGCAGTAAATGATACTTGTCTGATGAACTGAATATTAAAAAAATGTATAAAATGTACAAACCTTTTCAAAATCCCATATTTGATACAAAATCGAACATTTCCTTCGGGTATCCACGCAGTGATACATACAGCGAGTGTTACAAATTCTTAGCAGAAATTAAGGCACTCAAAATATTTTTAGAACATCTTCCAGTTGATACTGAAGTCTCAAGGCAAGAAATAGAAGCACATATTGGAAAGTTACATATTGCCAATAGTGTGCACAAAGCAAAAGCTGAAGCTTTCTATGAAAGAAAGAGATTTGCCCGTAAGCAATAAAAACAGTTGCAATTGAAGCCATTGCTTTAGACTACCAGACAAATCTAAATCTTCCTAATATTACAGCAAATGATTATACTATAAAAGACAATTAACTTTCATTTCTTTTAGTATTCATGTGATGTCAACTAAACAGCCAATTTTTTATTGCTATCCAATAGAAAGTTGGAGGAAAAGGCTCAAATGAAGTTGTCTAATTTCTTCATAATTGTATAATTTGACGTCTTGACGAAAACGTACGCCACTTTTTAAGCCATATTTTGCGATTCATGTGGCGGACAAAATAAATACTTTACAATGTGCCGTTTTCTTCACGTTGTTCACACTGCTAAGAAGCTATCAAGCATTACTCTCTTTTTCAATGCGAGAGCATTCGTATTTAGAGTGAGATCGAAACATGGCATTGGCATGTCAAAAGACAAAAGCTTATCATTCTCAACATTGGATTACTGAAATTCGTACATGCAGGACCAAGTCTACTCCATTTCAGGTGATTGAGCAACCATTGATTAGGGACTGGTCAAAACTTCTGGGTTGTTATTACAAAAAGAAATGTCCATTTGCATCAAGACCTATTAGAGAGGTTAAAATTTCTGAGGCTCATCCCTGAACAGTAGAACACAGATCAAGTTCTAGTGGGTATTTAAAATCTTCTGTGATTCGTGAACCAATCAAATACCTAACCGAAGTATGCCCAAAAGGCTAATTTGAGTTACCACAAAAATTATACAACGGTAAGTGTATCATTATTATTAGTATTGTTATTAAAATATGTTTCTTTTAAGACTTGTAACATTTTTTTTATTATTAATATATCAAATTATTTTTAATTCCTTTTACCCCCGTGCGATACGCCGATGATTAGGAATCCCAGTGTTTACGATAGGAAAATATTATTGTAGACACCAAGCTGAAATGGAATTCCCTAATTAAGAAAGGTTTTTAATCCTTCCGTCTTAATACTCTGTATGAAAAGAACAAATGCTTTCCGGTATGCAGTTTCTTTTTCATAAATTGGTAATTTTCGCCGAAGGCCCGTATCTTTTGACAATAATATAATCCTGAGGATTTTAATATTCTCAGGTCCAATTGTTAATACCGATTATTTTACCTCAAACTTTCCAATAGTCGTTAAGGCCTTACCATCTGAGAAATACATACGACTGTAAGATAATTTTAAGTGGGGGATATACCTTCTTCTTCTTTTTTCTTGGATAGTTGGTGAAATTTTTAGGGAACCAACTTACTACTCGGTGGGCTCTTGTTGAGTGAAGTGATATCTCGTGATGCGCTTTGCTCACGATATTTCTTATCTTATCGTCGCTGTGAATTATTTTCTAAGTGTGTGTACACTAAATATTTGAGTTTTCTTTCCTTAGACTATATTAAATTATATATAGTTTTACACTACCTTTTTTGGTTATTAAATTCAGTGTTTAGTACCAGAAAAGTATTAAATTCAGTGAATTAAGCTGCCTTCGTCAAGATCTACTGTAAGCAATCTTTATCTACAATTATCTGGGCGAGTAATATGGTATGGTACCATATCACCTGCCATTATCTGGACGTATCATCTATATCTTCACCTGTAAATTGCCGATTTTTCAATGTAATTGAATCATTCAAGAAATTTCTATAAATATTACCTATGAACATACAAGTCTCAGTTTTTTATTAAATAATAGTGCGAGATAGTTAATTGACTTAACCAAGTGCGGTTTGGTTTATGTTTTCATTCCTGTAACCTTTTTGTTTTTTTTTTTGTAAATTTAGAGTTAAGTAATTTTTGCTATCTTTTGTATTTCCTATAATTTTTGTTCATTATCTTTCCTATGATATCTCGAGATACGCCAAACTATATTTGTATATGATTGCCTTATATATCTTGGTAAAGGTATTTTTTTATTACATTATTGCTTAATTTTATACATATATAACACCATTTCATAGTTGTGTATTTTTATTACCTGGGTTGCATTTAGCAGCATCATAATTTTGTGTTTTATATATTGTTATTGTTTTATGCAAGTATTTTATTTGTCGGCTCCTAACAAGTTCCCTGATAAGATAATAGCTCTGAACAATTACTATCTTTAAATATTACTATGCTTTTGAACTGTAGAAAGATCAGGCTGATTAAGTTTCGTAGGTAAGTAAGTGTAATACTTAATATATTTATTATTTGTTTATATATTGCGATGACCAGATTTATTTGATAATTTACTGTTGGTATCTTTCCTTGGGTTTGATCTCTGAACCTAAATATCTTTTCTTATCTCTTTTCTTTTCTAAAGTTTTCTTAATTTTCTCCTTATTTTTGGTAATTTTACCCATCTATCTTTTTGTTTATTTCTGCATCTTTTCTAATCCTATCTTTACCTATTTCTTCCGTTGGATCCATTCCCGGTTCCAAAAGCTAGTTTCGAATCCACGACTTGCTCTCCACCAACCATCTGGCTGCCGTCCGCAGTGTCTCCATTAGTTATCTTTCTAGCACCACCCAAAAAAGATTTCCGAGGTTAGAGACTTCTACCAATATCGGATGCTAAATTTAAAGATCTGCAGCATTAAAGAACATTTTGTGGACCAAAAGCAAAGAAATATTTTGAAAATTTACCAGTCGCAAAAGCCACTAATCAAAAAAGAAAAGAAGCATAGTTTAACTAGTTTAAGTTATATAGTTCAAAACTAGAACCTAGTTATTACAAATAAATAATGCAAAAAAATAAATAAAAATGATATGTAATCTTTTAAAAACATTCTAACAATAAAATATATATATATATATATATATATATATATATATATATATATATATATATATATGAGTTGCCAAAAGAGACAGTTTATTGAAATGTGGTGCTTTAAACTTTAAACACCAGTTTTTTTCAAAATTGTACTTATTGACATTCCCCTTTTTGCAATGTGCTCTTCATATTTAACCTCATACACAAAGAATCCAATCTAATAATGAAATTGTGTGAAGGTGACGTAAAATTGTCAAATTTTAAACAGTCTGGCCAAATTTACAACAAAATGAGTAAAGCAGTAGTGCAATTAATGTAGAAATGATAACCAGGACTTTTCTTTTATATCTAAGTTAAAATCTTGTGATGCTAAAATACCAATTTTGTAAACGTTTCAAATTCAGATACATTTAAATTTATAAAAGTAAAATATATAAAAGTTTACATATTGTCTAAAATAAGCAGTCTTAAAACAGTAACTAGTCAGGCCCAATTATTTGAATAGCCAAAACAAATCAACTATACAGTGTGCTGCACTATAACATTTCCCATTTTCGAACGTCTTCCAAAATGCGACATTTTAAGAAACCTCTGAATGGTTCTGATCCCATAAGAGGAATAGTAGTTTCTTCTTCACATAAATCATCGTCCATTTCGTCGTAGTAATTAGCGGTTCCCTTCTTGACCAAGAAAATTAATTGGGCCAATGTCACAAAACCATTTTCTTGTGGATTCTTGATCGTTGTGTCCATCCATTCCTTTTTAGTGAAGCACCGACGTTACTCCAAGACTCATCGGTATAAACAAGGTTTACGTTATCTTTCTTCCTAAATATTTTTATTTCTCTGAGGTACTTATATTTCCAGGATATGATATCTTTTCTTTCCATCATTGCGGTTTTGAAAAAGTTGGTAGGTCCTCATCATCCTTCACTATGTTCATTATGTAGACGGTTGGTGGTATGTTTTCCAAAAAAAAATCATGGACAATTTTCCTCATTCGAGATTTCACTCCTTCATCGTAAGTATTCTCACGTGAATTGGACTAGAAACTATTTTTCTTCCTTTTTTGTACCGGTTTCATTCGCTTTGCTGGGCCTATTCACGGATGTCATAAATTTTGCGAACACTCACACCGCACATTTTCGAAACTTTTTCCACAGTAATAGTCAAGCTGTCACCATTTTATAATTTCAGATGCTAGTTCAATACATTTAACACCACACGTTTTACTTACACACTAACAGTCATATCCTGTTTGAAATTCACGACAGATACTGGCCATGGTTCCATGATGTAGATACTTTCATTCGCTTGCGAAAATGAAATAGAATGAGCTTTCATAGTTTTTGCCAACAAGTTTTTGGTCTAATGGCCAGTTCCCTAATCGACAAAGAGACATATGTTTTGTTTGCGCGGACAATAGGGATTAAAACTGATTCGTTTCTAATAACTTTATAATAATTTTTATTTACCAAAGAATGTATTTACAATGGAAGCTATTGAAAATTGATAAATATAGATAAACTATCGACAATGACTTTTTGATATATTTTACTTTTTTATAGTATTTTCTTCATGATACTTATTTTAGTTCGACAATGTACCTCTCTTATTTATACATCGATGATTGAATTATTCACAAACATTTTAGTGATACTGCGGCCGCATTTAGTACCGCCACATTGAGTACATTTTCAATTTTGTACTTGACGACAAGCGCCATCAAGCGTGAGCGGCATCGCTGCACGCCGTAAGACAAACACTATAGTGTGTATTCTAATTGTGGCTTCTACTATAGATCAAAATCAAAATAAAACTACGAGTCCACTTCAGCTGTAATTTTTCTTGCGATAGTGGCGTCATCGTGCGGGGAAACAAGTACTTATCGGATCTTAGATTTCAAGAATTTAGTGTAACTTAAGAATGTTGATGAACTTAAAAAACTACATACCTACTTACATGTTTTCCGAATATCTTTAAGGTATTTCTCATGGAACCATGGCACGTTAAATTCCGGATATTCTAGACAGACGGATCGGTTCAGGTACATTAGTGTTTGTCGAACTCTTTGGGGATATTTTTCCTAAAAATAAAATATATTTATTTAAAAACCAACTGAACTAAAACATTATGAACGAAACAGACAATTCATGGAGAGAACAACAGTTTGCAACAGAAAATACAGCAGTAGAGGAAATTACAGTAGATGAAATAAAGAAAAAGACTAACAAATCTCCGGGTTTCCATTGTTAAAAAAAGCCTTAGATCACAAAAAAAAATGGAAAAGCATCAGGTTCCGGAAATATTCCTCTTGCACTTGTAAAATATGGTCCAGACAAACATTTCGAGCTAATTACTAAACTGTTTAATAAATGCATCTGAGGAGAATAAATACCTAACGAGTGGAATTTAGCATATATGAGATCGATTCATAATAAACGTAACAAAAAACATTGCCAGAATTACCATGAGGTTAATGCTTACCATTAACAGTAATTTAATTATTCAGTCAACGTACCTTCGAATAACAATTCGCTAATTCATTATCTAATCTGTCCATAAATTCCACATTAAATATTTGTTTGACTAGAAAACTGGGTAGTTTGTTGAAAAAACTGAGTGATAACGCACTTTGTAGAAATGCCAATCCACTCAATCTCTCCTGGTCCCTAAAACATATAAAAGAAATAATTTATTTATGGATAAAATTTTTAAATTGAAAAATAACTAAATGAAAGATAGTGAGCACTATAATGATCTTCTTCCCCCATAATGATTTACTTCTATAATTGAAGACATCAAAATTTCCTTCAAGTCACACAACACTTTAGGTTCTTTTTTAATCAACACCAAAGATAGGATGAACTTCTTCTTCTTAACGTGCCCTATCAAGTCCCCTTGACGTTGGCGATTAACATGGCGAAACTGTCTCTGTCTCGAGCTATTCTAAAGAGTTGCTCAGCTTGCTTATTCCTGTCCACTCTCTGATATTCTTCAACCAAGAGGCCTGCTTTCCACCAATTCCTCTGCGTCCTTCGATTTTACCCATCATAATAAGTTTAAGAATATTATATCGTTCTCCCCTTACTACGTGTTCAAAATAGGCCATCTTTCTACATTTGATGTTATCAAGCAGCTACATTTCTACATTTGATGTTATCAAGCAGCATTTGCTGTCTCAAGGACTGCCACATTTGTCAGCATAGCCGTCCATGGAATTTTTAGTATATGTCTGTACAGCCACATTTCAAAGGCCTTCAGACGATTAATGGTGGAGATTTTTAATGTCCATGCTTCGACACCGTATAAGAGGACTGACCAAATATAGCATTTAACCATACGCTTTCGAAGTTGAAGTTTCAAGTTATCATGACAGAAGAATGACCTCATTTTTGAAAATGTCGTGCGGGCTATCTCGATTCTACATTTTATCTCTTGATCTGGATCTAGTTGTTCAGTAATATGGCAACCAAGATATTTAAAACTGGACACTCTTTGAATTATATGACCATCAACATATAATCGTGCATCTTGATGTGCTAAACGGCTAAACACCATGTGTTTTGTTTTTGAACAGTTTATGTTTAGGCCAAACTCTCTTCCCACTGTATCAATGGCATTTAAAAGGCATTGTAATCCATTCATGTCATCACTTAAAATAACTGTATCGTCTGCATATCTGATTGTATTTATCAGAATTCCATTAACTTTCACGCCCCATTCCAAATTATGCAGCGCTTCTTTAAATATTCTATCTGAATATAAATTAAATAACAGTGGGGATAGTATACAACCCTGTATGACACCTCTGTGTATTTTACATATTTCTGTTGATTTTCCGTTTATGCAAGCTGTCGCTGTTTGACGCCAGTATAACTTTTCTATGAATCGTATGTCTTGACTATCAACTCCTTTATCTTTTAATATTGTAATTAATTTGTGATGCTGTACTCGATCAAAGGCCTTTTCATAGTCAATAAATACAGCAAAGACGCCTTTCCTTTGATCTCGACATTTCTGCAGTAATACATTTAGTGCAAAGAGGGCGTCCCGAGTTCCCAGTCCATTTCTGAAGCCAAATTGTGTTTCATCCTGATCTTCACATTTATCTCTGATGAACACTTTTGGCAAAAGTGTTATTTATAAATTAAAATGTGATGATTGTGGTCCGTCATGTAGGTAGAACCATTCGAAAGTTATCTACTAGAATCACAAAACATTTGAAAAGACCAAACTCTTCCATTTTTGGTCACCATTTATTATCCAGTAAACATAATTTTAATGCTTCATCTATTTTTAATAGGTAAATAATAAATACAAATCCTTGTAATAGGAAATTACAAGGAAAACAATTGAAAACTCTTATTGTCTTAATACTCAAATTTACTTTAAATTAATTTAAATTGTACTAAACTTAAACCTATTTTTAAACAATTTAATGTAGCTTCACCTAGTAGGGGGCCAAGCTTGACTGTTTAGACTTCCTGCACTGAGTACACCAATTAAGAGTTTATTAATTTCATAGTTTAATTAATATTAATTTTTAACTCATCAATAACTTGCAAAACAAGCTTGTTCATGATCAAATGATCTATAGTTCTCCCATAATTAAAATCGATCTTCACTCTTCTGCAATTCTCTTTGTACATGTATTGTTAATACGTCCAAGAAGTTTGACCCATTTAAAATGCTTAGTTTTAGAAAAAGTACAGCTTAAAGCGAGAAACGATTTACAATTTCATATTTTTTACCCTTCTTTTTTTAAATATCCCCGAAAATACTGAATATATGAAAGAAATAAAATGTACTAAATTGTAGCTTTTTTAATGACTAAAATTTTCCTTTATTTAGATTTGTTGTACAATGAATATTTGGCGAGATATAGCCGTTTAAAGCATCGATTTACGATCAAGCACCATCTTTTTTGAGCCCTTTAAACTCACCCCATTTAAAAACCAAGGGTTCCAAAGAGATTTAATTCACAGATCCTTGTAGCTCTTAAAAACCTCTACAAAATCGTTTTTGAGGAAAGACTCTATCGTTAAAAGTGAAGGAAATACGTTAAAAAAACAATTAATTTTTTTTCGGAAAATTCCATTAGTATAGTACAGTACATTTTGGAGCATAATAATCTACAAAACCGGTATATTATGTAGTGGGGCGTTACACGTTCGAAATTTTAAGCGTTCTTATTTTGAAATCCCATACAGCAGAATAAAACATTTGCTCATATGTTTATGGCTTGGCAATAAAAATATCAGAGCAACAGACTGGGGATGGTATTCCAAAGATGGTTTGTTATTACCCGTACGCATGAACAAACAACCTGCACCCGATGAACTTTTGAAAATTATTTTTTGCCAATGCAAAAAAGGATGCGGCGTTTCATGTGGGTGCAGAAAAGTTGGTTTATACTGTAACTTTACTTGTTCTGTGTGCTCAGGTGAGGGGTGCAATAATAGTCCACCAATAATTGAAGAAGATAAGGATGACATCGATCACGATGAAAATGTAATTGATGACGAATAAAATTAATATTATAATTGTTTTACCTATAAATGTAAATATTTTCAACTATTTATGTAAATGTATAAGAATATATGGTGCCTTTTTATGTTGATACATTTTTTTGTATTTAATTCTACTTTTTTCAATTTATATCTATTAAATTAGTTTATAAACTGCACCCTTTACAACTGCAATGTTGTAAAGGGTGATTTTCAAAAGTTGAAAAGTTGCAAAATTTTGGCAAAAAATTGTTTTTGCCTATAGCACTCATAACAATTGATTTTTTAAGGGTTGAAAATGTATGAAATTGTATTTTAAAGTATAAAAAATCACTATTTAACTAATCCAAACCAAATTTCACTCATCTTAAGATTTGTAATGTTATTTTACAATTTTTGAAAATTAGGGGTAGTTTTCACCCCTAAAAACAATCAGGGTTCATCGGCATGACATAAACTACAAAGCAGAGGGTGAGTTAAGCTTAATTCCAATTTTTTATGCAAATCGTTCCAAGACGAAATCATTTTCATCGCATTACTAATTTTTTTACATTAATCTCTAATAAGGGTCGCTTTCTAAGGGTTGAAATATGATGGAACTTTATTCAAAAGCACGAAACTATCATTATTTAATTAATTCAAACCAAATTTTACCCATATTCAGGTTTAATATGTTATTTTATAATTTTTGACAATTAGGGCTAGTTTCACCCCTAAGAATAATTAGGGTTCGTCTACATGACATAAACTATAAAGCAGCGGGTGAATTGAGCTTAAATCCAAATTTTTATCCAAATCGATCCAAGGCGAAATCATTTTTTTAGAATTAGTAATTTTTTACATTAATCTCTAACAAGGGTTGCTTTTTAAGGGTTGAAATATGATGGAACTCTATTCAAAAGTATAAAATAATCATTATTTAACTAATTCAAACCAAATCTTACCCATATTCAGGTTTAATATGTTATTTTATAATTTTTGACAATTAGGGGTAGTTTTCACTCTTAAAACAGCTCAGCGCACTTCGGTTCGATATAGATTTTGACCCTTGGGCTATCACCTACCTTCTGTTAAAATTTCAACTCATTCATGCAAGACGAAAAAATTGCGAGGTTTTTAACTTTTTTCGAGCTTCATTTCCTGAACTATTGAAAACTTCCTTAGACAAGCAACATTGTTACACAAACAACATTGTTGCGAGACAGATAGTTGAACGATATTTTGTACAATGTCTATACCCAGGTATGGATTTATTTTTGTCCAAGTTTTATATTGGTCCACTATTTCAAATGCAGTTCAAACAGACATATATTAAATTGTATGTTCCGTTCTAAATTCGTTCTATCTGTATATATATATATATATATATATATATATTATATATTATATATATATATATATATATATATATATATTTATATATATATATATTATATATATATATATATATATATATATATATATATTAAAAAATGTTGGCAATACCAAATAGAAATTATATGGTGTCTACATATAAGTAGTTATGTTCCAGAAAGTGTACGTCCTGAGGTATCAATTTGTATTTTCCAACTTGCTATAATTAAATTTTTTTCTTAGTGGCTTAGTATTTTTACAACTGTACATTGTAATGTCGTAAACTTACCTTATAATAATGTCAGTCACCGTTTGAAAGAATTTGTCCGCATTAATGGGAAGATATGCTAAATGGAAACACAGGAACAACAATTTCTCAGCATTAAATCCAACAATATTATTTTTATTATTGATAATGTACTCCGTCATTTTATTAAAAACTTCAGGAACGAGGGTACTGGTAGTCATAAATATAAAATGAATGTGCTCTAGAAACTTAGAAGACATATAGTTCATCTCTTTAAACTCGGTTATTAACGTATCCATTTGATAATTGTCATATTCATTCCTTAAAATTGCAGATTTCACTAACAGAACTTTTGTTTCAAAATCATTTTCGTTTAATAAATGCTCAGAAGTTTCTCTAAAAACGCTTTGGATATCTTTATACTGCCTCTCGGAAAGACAAAGATTATCTCTTTTAATAAATTTAGACAGTGTGAATAAGTCTGCGCCTTTTAGTTGTCTTGGGTTATCTTTGAGTTTTCCTAGTAATATTTCTAATAACATTTTATCCCTACCATATAACATAACAAATGTCAATAATACTGTGAGATCCTGAGGAAATAACAGTTCCTCACTTCTGACTAAATCTCTAATTAAAAATAAAACTTTCTTCTCGAAATTATTATTTCTATAATTATCTATATCTGTGTTGAACTGCATGTAATTCTGGCAAGCCATTACTAATAAATACATACTAGAATCTTCATTTAGAATATTACTCCACATCTGCCAGTAGTCATGACATAAAGAGTTATCAGAAATCTTAACATAAGAAAATATCTTTCGCAGCAAACTTAAATTACTCGGTGACATTTGGTCTTTTAACAACTTTTCGATGTCTTTACGAACATGTATTCGGTGTAATGGAGAATTAAAATATATTAGAGAAGAAAATAGTTTAAGTGCAGTATTGTTATCTAAGTTATTGCTTTCTTCATGTTGCTGCCAGTATTTCGCTGCACATCTTTGAATTTCATTAAGCAAATCGCCAGGCTCTTGGGTTTTGAAAAATACCTAAAATATTAATAAATTTAACTTATTTATGTCAGCTAAGAATAATAATTATAAAAAAAATAGTAAAGATTTGGGAAGGCCACGTGCCCAGTGGTCAAATGTATGAGAACATCAATCTCTTTTAATAAGGCGGGCATAAATTCATGTCTTTTTTTAAATTCTATCTTTACTTGTGTCTTATGTGTCTTATTTAACGACAAAAAATACTAAAATAATAATTTTTGCATTAGCTGTCAAAATATGTCATGTTCTTTTAAAAGAACAGCAGTAAGAAGCAGTATATATTAGAAAGTAAATCTTTATTAATACAAAAATAATTATAAAGTATGGAAATCCTTAAAACATTGTTTAGGGTATAATGGTATGTTACATTTTTCACACAAAAATTGAACCTTTTTTTTTGTAAAGTCCGCAACGAGATTGTTTTTCTTGATAAACAATTAAATGGTTCCATTATATCTTGAATGTAAGATTCCGTCTTGTTGGGCCACATTTGTTTTTTTTGTAGGTTTCCAGAATGTTACAAGCTATTTGCCTTCTAAATTCAAGCTGATCAATGCATCCTCCGTCTTTTTGGTTTCAAGATTCCGTCTTGTTGGGCCGCGTTTGGTTTTTTTGTAGGTTTCCAGAATGTTGCAAGCTATTTGCCTTCTAAATTCAAGCTGATCAAGGCTTTCTCCGTCTTTTTGGGTCTTTTTGGTCCAATTGCCACGCGTTTTGAACAGCCATGTCAATTCCATGTACTATTAGCAGAAAGTACCATTTTTTCCCTCTTATAGAGATCCGGTAAAGACTAATGTTTTGGTCACAGCGGTCTATGCCACCCATAAAAGAATTTTATTGCTGTATCATATTTGGTTGAGAAAAAAATGTGTCTCTTCTCCTTTTGGGAAACTCTTTTAACTAGGTGATATGGTTTTACAGAACAAAAGTTAGATGCAATTGTAACGACAGTATTGTCGTGCCAGCAACAAACCACAATTCCTGTGTTTTTATCTAATCTGTAATTGTAAGTTCCCTTTCCTTTTTTTCATAGCTTTTGGAGTGAATAGAGGGCATTTTAGTGTTCTATTGTCCCTGTGTTGAGGGAAAAAAACCTCCACGACATTTCTCAGCTGGTTTCACAATCAATTTGTACCAAAGGTTGAAAATCATTTAGCAAAAAATAATCTACCGAGAAAGGCAGTCAGTCCTACTGTTGAACAACACACCCTCTCATTCCGACCCAAAAGAACTAAAAGATGGCGAAATAAAGTGTCTTTTTGCCCCCAAATGTGACATCTCTCTGTCAGCCTATGACCAACATTTTATAAAATCTATAAAAGGTGTCTATCGACGAAAGTTGCTGCCGGCATTGATTGCTGAAATGAATGAACGAGAAAACGTCAGAGACTCTAAAAAAATGGACATGTTGGAGGTGGTGATATGGGTAGCACAAGAATGGGATGACATAAAACCAACAACAAGGTCATTGGGGAAGCTGTTAGACTACAAAAGATCTGATGAGTGGAAGCGAGAAAAGCCAGAGGAAGAGGAACCTACCGGGATATGAAAAAATGACGGGACGAAGAGTGGTTAAATTAACAGACAGCGATATGTTGAACATGGTATTCCAAAATTATGATATAAACTCAGACAACGAAGGGGATGAAAGCACTGACAAAAATCCGGTCGTAATGAGCCTCTCCGAAGCATTCAAGTTGTTCGTGGCTCTACTGTCCTACGTTGAAAATCAAGAAGATACTTGTGCAAGTGACGTGATGCTTTTAAAAAATGATAAGGGACATGGCTTCAAAAGTGTGTACAGTGTGGAAAGCAGCAGAAAATAACCAATTTTTTCAAAAACTAATGTGTAAATTGTATAACCTTTTGTTTTTAGTATGGAACATATCTTAGTATGTATTTACTACGTTTATAAATGTTTAATTTCTGTTTATAAGCATAGAAATACAGCTCGAAAACTCTATAATGTTTAGGTTTAGGTTATGTAAAACACTATAAACTATGTATTGTAAAAATTTCAGGCCGTTTACAGCTATATATATTTTTAAATAGTCTTGATATCCAGATTTTTTCATATCCGGATTGGTCAGTCATCAAATTGATCCGGATGTGGCAGATTATAGTGTATTATATAAAAATAATAAAAAAATAATAATAAAACAAATTATCAATTTCAATGTAATATAGACACCTATAATTTAGTTACATATAAAACTGAAGTAATACCATTCTACCACAGTTTTAGTAATTATAAGGTTAGCTACCACATATTTGCCAAATATATAAGGTTCTGTTATAAATTTATATATTTATATAAGATCAAATATATCTTGGGTAAAATCCTCTTAATGTTCTCAGAAAGAAGTGATTACGCCTAGTCATATAAAAATTAATAATGTCAATTGAAAATGTATAATTTAATAGATTACTAGTTGAAGTGGTACCAAATTTAGGAGAAAGTTCACATGTCAGTGAGGATAATTTCCATACCAATATATTTACCTCATAAAGAACCAGAAGTCTTGTAGCATCTAACCTATTAATTTGATTCTTCAATAGCAGCATACACTTAGACAACAAAACAGTATTCTGATTTCGCCAGCCTGGACAGCTTAAAAATGTAATAACCTTTAGAACAGCATTGTGATCCATACTGGTTAGTTTTTTATGTTCTATGAAGTTCTGCACTTTATCTATGTACTTTGAAACTATTTGAGGAGTAACAATGTTTTGCAATTTAGTCAAACATGTAGAAATATCTGCCAGTTGTTCCACTGAATCGCATTCATCTAAAAGATACAAAAGATTGTTAATGTTTATAAAAACAAAGCAAAGTACATATTCAATTCTTAATTATTTACCAGCAGTGACACATAAGTCAATAAATTGATAGGTACATTTTAAAATAATAAAAAAACACTCAGTTACACAATGTTCACATATAAATGATAACAGTACTTATATTACTTTTTTAATAAATTAAAATATTTTCATGATATTTTGTTTGTATTAGTTGATTGGTGGATCAGCATGCAAAAATACTTATAATGTTCTAACGTTCTAAATTCTGAATTCACAGAAAAGCTTTCATTGTAGTAAAAGGTGCAGTTCCATAATATTTAACACTATGCTAAATTTTAGGTATAACATAAATATATGTGTAGTCCTGACACATATATTTACAAATGTATCATAGTTGACCAAATTGTATCAAGTTTTGGACATTAAGTACTATAGTTAAAGCCAGTTTAATCCCATCGAACACATCTGGGATATATGAAAAATGTATTATGATAATCATGTTGGATGCAGTGGATATAGTGAGGATGCTATTAGGGAAACGTGGCAAGAAGCTCTTAAAACTACAACTTCAGAAATATGTGAATTTAGTGACGATGATGATGGTTTATAAATTTAAATAATCAGTAAGTACACTGTTATAATGTTATTTACAAAATAATTATTGTACAGCAGGCTAACCATTATATAAGTATTTAAAATTCCATTTGAATTTTTTTCATTTTAAACAAATTAACTCTAACTGATAATACAGGCAAAATATTCTAAAAAAGTAAGTAATTAAAAAGATTATGTAGAACTCCAGTGCAGTTTACCTTGCCTTTTAATACAAAGAGAGGTTTTCTGTGAATTCTATTAATCATTTAGAGGTGTAAGTTGATTGAATGTACTGTATAAATTACATTACAATAGTTCTTACCTATTGCATTAAATATTTTAGGCATCAATTCCAGTGACATATAATATGGTCTACTTCCATTTTCTAAAAATATAACTTTAATCCACTTGCTGCAGTTTGATATATTAAATTCTTCAATTAGATCCCTTTTTATCTTTTCAGCTATTTGTACCATTGGAAAATCTTCGATATGAATGCCTAATTTATGTAAGTACAAAAATATGTAACTCAGTACTTCTGCATTAAAATTACACAACTTTTCTGAAATCATATTCATTAAATTAGAAAAGTCTTCTGACTGTTTCATTTCGTTAAGGTAATTTAAAAATGCGCTATCAACAGAACAGTTTACCCTACAATATAAATTTTGCAAATCTTTTAAAACAAAGATTGTTTGTGCTACATGCTTTTCTTTGAAGTCAGTTTTGTAGTTATTGAATACATTCCATACATCTTTCAAGCTCCTACACTCATTTAAATCTCTTATAATTGCGTCTTCACTGTCTTTAAATAAAATGTATTTGGTACAATCAATCTGATCCAAAGTTTCGGCTTCCAAAAAAGGATAGTCTTCAGATTCATCATTTTCTGTAGAGTATTGCCTAAAAGTATATTGTTTAACAATGCTTGCTTGTTTATGAAAGGCTCTATTTATTTTAGCATGTGTAAAACTATTCAAATATCTCTTAAAATTTGATTTACTTTGAAAACTTCGAAATATTCTGAATATTTTCATATTTATAAAAAAAAATAGGTTAAATAAAACTCCTGAACTCTTCTTCTTTCTTGGAAGGAAGTAGTATACCTATTGTTTATCCAGTTCTGAATTAATAATTTTTAGGTTTTTTAATTTTTAATCTTAATATGTTGTTTATTCTCCATATTCGTTGTTATAACGTCCTTGCACGATTTCCTTTTCCCTTTTTTGTTTTGTAAACAAACACTGATTTTATTGGCTGAGTACAAGTCCAATATTATTTATCTATGTACAAGTCCTTTTACGAAAGTGAGTGGGAAAATATATTTTCTCAGACAATGCATTTATTAATAGTTATTTTAAGATGTTTTATATTACCCTAGATAATTTTTCACATTCCGCAGTGAAGTAAATAATCAAGTTTTAGTTTTCATTTATATAAAAAATTTATGTATGTGAGATCGAGTTATGTAGTTTGAGGTTATGATTGTTTTTTGTTAATCTACCGGCTACGGGATTTATATTTCATGATTTAATGAGAAGTGCTCAACTTTTAATTAAAATGTCTAGAAATGTTGAAATTAAGGCGAAAGTCCACAATTTGGATGATATTGTTAACAGAGCAAAGTCCTTAAATCCCATAAAAAGTGAAATTATTCAGCAGCATGATACATTTTATAATGTTTCACATGGTAGATTGAAATTAAGAAAATTTAAAGTAGGTAGTTTCAAATAATGTAATTTTAAGGAATTAATGGAATAATTTTGAATTATAAAGATATTAAGTTATTTTATTTTCTTTTTTTTTTACTGGTATAGTGTCTGCATTTATGTCCCATGTTTTAGGATAGCACCGGCGAATTAATTTATTATGATCGTCCAGATTCTGAAGGACCAAAAATATCTAACTATAAAAAATCATACATAACCCAGGAAAGCATAAATGATCTTCCACAAGTTTTGGAGGAAGCACTAGGTGTGAAGCAGGTCGTTAAAAAAGTTAGACAGCTATTTTTGGTTGGTCAAACTAGAATTCATATAGATAATGTGGAAGGGTTGGGACATTTTATGGAGTTAGAGGTAATTGACAAATATCTCCATTTTTTTTAAATAATCCAAATTATCTTCATATCCTTCATTAGTTCATTGATTTGTTATCCAAACATATGCAAGTTTAATTTTATACTACATTGTTTCTTTCCACATTTGGTATACATTTTTCTTTTCCTATATAATTTATTATTTTGGAAGCCAAATTAATAGAGTTAAAGCATTTTTACTTTTTTTTATCTTATTAATAAAACTTTTAATAAATCATTCAAATTCATATTTCTTTACTCATCTTTATCTTTTTTCAATTTTACTAGACTATGTTTTACTAGCTTGTTTGTATATTGACTGCTTGTTATATGTTAATTTTAAATGTAGATGCAATTTTGTTATCAACTAATGTCTTTATATCATGTCATCAATTAATAAACATATTGTTGTCAACCAAGCAACACCATGCAACTCAATTTTTTGATCAATGGAGATTTTGTTTCATTTGATACAAAATCTCACTCAGAATATCTGAATGACTTAGATTTGAAAAAATCTCAACAGATTTCACTGTAATCTCAATAAATCAACACCACATATAACATATCTCATTTTCCCAAGTTCCCATGCCAAAACTATTGATGGCTGGTTTGTTGGGTTCGTTGTCAACAAAAGTAAGTTGTTATATATAGTATTGCTTGGTTGATGATAAATACAAGTTTTATAGGTTAAAAAACATTCTGTACTGGAGGTCTGTTTGTTTGTTTTTGATATTTAAATTGGTTTACTTATTGCACATTTAACACATTTTGCTTTAAACACTTCATTTGCTTTATCTTTATCTTGTACATTGATTTTTTGATTGTGAGTATTATTCATATTATATTGAGAACATTTTTGTTTAAGGTTATGTTAGGAGATGATCAAAGCCTTGAAGAAGGAAAGCAGATCGCAGATGATTTAATGGTCAAATTAAATGTGAAGAAAGAAGATCTATTATCAGGAGCATATGCCGATATGTTAAAATAATGTTTTTGCACCATTCCTTTTTTTTTAGATGTCTATATTTTACTTAATTGTTTATTATAAATAAAACAGTATTTTTAATGAAATGTTTCTTTTACTAAAAATTACTGGAATTGAAAACGTTACATAATATGTAACATAACACATAGAGAACAGAGTATATACCCCCAGAGTATAATTATATATATATATATATATATATATATATATATATATATATATATATATATATATATATATATAATATATATATACAGTGTAGGAAAAATTTTATGGTCGGTATGCTAAAATTTAACAGGATATCTAACGCAGATATAAAATCATATTTTCAGCGAATAGACAAAGATAACAATCATATTTCCCCTTGGTCTCCCCTCCTCATTTATTTTTAACACCTATTGGCCATTAGTGAGACGAATAGTTCCGATCAGAGATATTTTACATATTCTCTGGTTCCGACCCTAATATACCTAAAAAACTAGAGGTGGGTCCTCCCGTTTTTTAAATTTTTATCGGAACCGTTTTTCGTAAACTGTAACTAGTTGATTCAAATTAGCGAGTACACAAACATATTGGCTATTATCGTTTATGTGTATAAGTATTGAAGTGAAAGAACCTAACGAAGGATATATTTATTATAACTTGAAAAATAAATTAAACAATACAAAAATAGTACTTACATTTACATTGCACGTTATTATTAAATCGCGAACCGTCTAAATTGACATTTAAAAACAAGTTTTTCTACTTTTCTTGTTAACTGTGTTCTTCTTTTATTTAAAATTAAACCAGATTTTAAACATGTGTTCACAAGGAAAAGATTTTGTTACAATTCTACAATATTTTATGAATATAGTGGCTAAGTTAGGATATACATGGCGATGGTTTTTCCACCACGGTAATGGACAGTTCCAATCTCCGTTCGAAATTTATTGTGGGTAATATATTATTAGACAAATACATGTCTACTTCTTGTATATCTCTCGATACAGTTGTATGTTTAGATGAGTCATGTCCAATTAATTCATCAAAAATACACAATGGACTTAAGTCATCTTTATCAGTTTCTTTTTCTTGACTAAACTTATTGATTTACTAAACTTATGCAAAGACTCGTTTCATCCCTTTTTGTATAGGTGAAGAACCAGATTTTAAAAAGTTTGCAGGGTGGATTCCTGGATATAAACCGCCAACAAGAAAAACTGTTAGATTCATTACTTCAGGAATGTTATGTCAAAACTGATTTGATAATAGATAAAAAAAAGTCCTTTTTTCGACAATTCTGCAAAAAACATTAAAAAAAGTACCTTATCTTCAGAAAGGCTTAATTACAACATAACAAAGTTCCGAAACGGCCAATCCAAGACGTGAAAACTAGGTAGAACTTCACCTATTACAGGTTAAAAAGAATGACTGAGTTAGAAGAGGCAATCCGTTTCACTTCTTCTTCTTTAAGTTCCATCTTCTATCGAAGGTTGGAAATCATCATGGCTATGCCGACTCTGTTGACTGCCGCTCTAAAAAGGTCTGCACTACTTCATTCAAACCATTCCCTTAAGTTCTTAAGCCAGGATATTCTTCGTCTTCCCACATTTCGCTTTTCTCGGATTTTGCCCTGCATAATAAGTTGTAATAATGCGTATTTTTGCCCTCTCATCACATGTCCCAAGTACTCAAGTTTTCGTCTTTTAATAGTTAATATTATTTCTGCCTCATTTCCTATCGTTCTAGTTACTTCAATGTTTGACATTTTTTGAATCCATGATATTCGTAGGATTCTTCTGTAACACCAAAATTCAAAGGCGGCCAACTTATTCAGATGAACTTGTTTTAGTGTCCAAGCTTTCAGACCATAAAGAAGAGTAGAGAACACACATCGAAGCATTCTCAGGCGTAGTTCTAACCTTATATCCCGACAACAAAGAAACTTTTTAAGTTTAATAAATGATGTACGTGCTATTTCAATACGTGTCTTAATTTCTTTGATTTGGTCTACATCTGATGTTATCCATGTTCCTGTATTTATAGTTATTAACACTCTTAATTGCAGTATCTTCAATATTCAATTGGATATTTGTGCAGATTTAGTCATGATCATGCATTTAGTTTTCTTTAAATTTATCTTCAGTCCGTACTCATGACAGCGTTTATTAAGGCGTTGCATTAGGTTCTGTAAATCATTGTTGTTATCCGTAATTATTACTGTATCGTCTGCAAAACGTAAGTTATTCAAAACTTCTTCATAGATAGATATACCTTCTATTGAGTCAGAGAGCGCTTCTTAAAATACCGATCACTGTAGACATTGAAAAGTAGTGGGGACAGCACGCAACCCTGGCGGACTCCTCTCTGTATTTTGATATTTTCGGTGTACTGGCGTGTATTTCCGTTCCACATCGGTATTAAATAATACAGACTTAGACTTAGACCAAATCTAAATAAAAAACACTGGATTATTTGTTCTCAGCTTTCCCAAATTTTACGGCCGTTTAAAGAAATAACAAGTACAATGAGTGGCCAAAAATACTTGAAGGGTAGTTCAGTGATTATTATGGTACGCCATATGTTTTGGCCATTATGTTTGTTTATGTAGGTACTCTCTTATTTGAAACTACTTTTAAACAATCATAGTTAGTTGTTTACAAAAATTTAAATTTTTAAATTCATTCATTTTTTTTTTCCTGAGAAAACTAACAAATATTTTTGAAAAATTTAAATGCAGAATAAAAGATTACATTATTACCGAGGGCCGAAAGTCCCTTATAATAAACAAAAAGTTTTTTGAATGAGATATTTGAAATTAAAAATCACACTAATTTTTTTTTTCGCCCTTATAACTTATTAAAATAAACATTATAGAAGTTTTCAGGGACTTTTGGCCCTCGGTAATAATGTATTGGTTCATTCTGCGTTTAAATTTTTCAAGAATATTTATTAGTTTTATCAGGATTCGAAAAAAATGAATGCATTTAAAAAATATTAATCGCTCTTACGCTCTTAACGATAAAATTACCACGACCCACCTCTACTACCCGTTACTCGGTATTCTGACCAGACGGACGACGTTGCCAAATAAATTATTGTGTGTGAATATTTTTTAATGTGGTGTTATTGTATGCAGTTTATTATTTCATATTGGGAATAAGGCACAATGTGACTTTAAAATAAGCTTATTTTGATGTTTAGATTTTTAATTCGGAAATCGTACTTAAAATACGAAACATTAATAAATTTTATTTAGGTATATAAAACGATTTCCAAAGTGGAAATCCAAATCTTATATTACACTTATTGTAAAGTAAACTTGTGGCATATTCCCAATAAAAAAAAAGAGTAAGCTGCCATTTAAATCAATTTCGCCTAAATTGGATTATCTTAGAACATTGTTCAAATGCAAAAAAAAACAACAGGTGAAATAAATCCAATAAGTTTGGCAACGTTGAATTTCCCCTTTTTTAATATTTCCATTCGGCGATATAAAGGGCGTACCTAATATACCTCTCTCTTTTTAAACAGCTGTTTCTCACTCCATCTCACGTAAGGTCCATACCGACCATAAAATTTTTCCTACACTGTATATATATATATATATATATTATATATATATAATATATATATATATATATATATATATATATATATATATATATATATATATATATATATGTCTTCATATCAAGGCGAGATCCGTTTGTATCATAAGCTATACAAAATGAGATCCGTTTTGCAAGGCGAGATCCGATTTTGGATCTCACCTTGTATTCACGTGTATATAGTGATATCTCGATGTAACAATGATGGGGGTACAAAGAAATCGATTTTTGTCTGGACCTCATTTTGCACCCCTTTTAGTGAATTTTATATTGCAGTAGTTCCACTAAATCCGCTGTAGAGGCAGTGCGAGCGATCCGTTGTGTATATGCTAAATATACATTTTGTAGACAACCCGAGATCCGGTAAATTTGGCAACATCGCAAATGAATTTTACAGTCAGACCTCTCCCTCGCTTCGGCTTATTTCCGGTTTGAATAATATTATTTACATTATTAAAGAGCTCTGTCCAGAAAGGCGATTGTCAAATATCTCGAGAACTAGACGTCGTATCGAAGAAACTTAGGTTTTTTTAATGGTTTTTCAAAATCTATATATTTATGTAATACCAGGGTTCTTATTCTCCCTGCGAACGCGGTGGGTGTAGCAACTTTGAACTTTCAACTGGAACCCTTTATTTTTATTTAAATAAACATTTTGAAATTATATTAGAACTATTATGGATATAGATATAAAATTAGAATAATTAATTAAATTAGAAATTTAGAGTTGAAAATACACAACTTTTGTGTGAATCTATAATAGCTTCTTTAACCAGTGGGAAGAGCTTCAAAATCGTCGTTTTGATGACATTTTTAGGAGTTAGATGATTTTAAGTAATTTTTTAGATAAAATTATTTAGAACACGTTGGTAAGTACTCGAAGTCTAAAAAATTTTGGAGACATTGTTTATTTGTAGTATTATTTTTTTACAATTTTTCTTCGCATATTTTCTCCACTGTTTGTTTTACAAAAAATGTCAAAAACTTATTTTAATCGCTTAGTCGTAAGACCTACAAAATAAAGCTAACCGCGTTCAATTTGAATGAGTTACAAATACAAATCTGTTTTACATATCATTTATAATTAAGGGACCAACTATGCTGTTCACGTACTATGTTAAGATTCCACGGGAATATTTTTCAATATATGTAGTTCATTTATGCTAAACTTGGACACTGTACGTCAAATAGTTTACGAGCTTTATAAACAAATTAACTTCATATTTCCTTTAAATTCGTTTACTGTAGAAAATCCAAATTTAGCTATACAGCTCGCACTCCCTCGTAGGGGAAAATTCACTCATCCCAGACACCCACCTTATCAAAAGGATTGACCTGTGGGACTCTTTCTGTGTTCGATTCCTAGGTGACTTGGTACATCGGAGTTTGTCCCAAAAATTTTCTTACATTATTATCTAGTATTATATAAAGCTTATTAAGGACGTTGTAACAGCGTTAAAGTTCAAAAGCTTGTGATATATAAAACATCTAAATTTGCAACAGTTTTTCCCTGGCAGCAAATTTCACGTTCAAGAACAAAGGATAGTAATAAAAACAATTAAATATATGTACCTATTTCTTAATTATTATCTTGTGTTAGTTATCTTACTCTATGTTAGACTCTTCATTACTATAAAAAGAAGTAACACTCTCTATGGTTAAAATTGTTCACATTTATCACCTTTTTTGTAACATTTCACTTGGGCCATAATATATTTACAAGAACCAATGAATTTGATCTCGTTTCCGTTTACACGAGTATTTGAGCCCCCGTACAATCTGGTAATTTAAAAAAACCAATATAATAATTATTCGTCACAAAAAGGTAAAAATAAACTCATCTTTTACACCTATTAGGAGTATAGTATATGTATGCATGTTTCTTCAACTTGGATTCCGTGTTTAAAACTGGTACCAGCTCTACATTTTCTTTACTCCAGCCAGTTAGCAGCAACAGATTCGGCAGTCAAAATCTTGGTGTCACGCTACATACTCATACCTTCGTTTGGATGAGTATGTACACGAATATTATATATTATACTGTCTGAAGTAGGAGAAAGTTTATATGTTTATATGGACCAGTACAAAGATTGTTAGTACTGGTCAAATACAAAACCAATCCTTTTAGGGTTGTAGAGGTTCTTGAACACTATTGATTTTAAAATTCTTGCATATTCACCAAATGATTTGCAGTTGGAGGGTTTGCCAACGGCTTGGATTAAACTCATACCTTCAAGAATGTGACACTTTTGTTACTTTATAATGGTAATGGTAGATATTTAGACATAACTGTAAACTGTCCTATTATAGAACCTAAGGCAGATTTATTTGATGGTATCGATAAAACTCTTACAGGTACAAGTGACATTGGATGTGCTGTAAATTCATATTTGAAAATATTCTCATAATATTTATGTTACTTACAATTGCCTTGGTTGTTAGTATTTTTTGTAAAAGCTCTTGCTCAGCTTGAATAATTTTTTTCTTTTCAGAGACAGTTTTATAGTGTTGGAAGTGTTGAAAGTACTTCTTGTTTGCTGATAAAAATTGGGAGCTCTAACAGAAGAAGAAATTTTGCTAGACTCTTCTCCATTTTTTTTTGTTTATTTAAGTAAGGGTATTTGAATATTTGGCAATGCAATCTCATTAGCTGAAATTACGAGAAGACGATCTACGCTTTTGAAAAATACATTAAATCGTAAAAAACTGATCATGTAGTTTTTGTACAGAATATTCATTAATTTTCATCCGTTTATTTTTTTTCTATTTTCTACGTTTTGAGTTGAGTGGTTGCTTAAGTCTCATGATACACGAAATTCATCTACCATCATGCCAATCATATTGTAGCTTAACAACCATTCGTCTAGTTTTGTGTTGGTTTTAGTCAATCCCACGATTCCTCCTGCATCTTTTGAGTTGTATTTATATGTTTCAAGCTGGATCTACAAATAGTTGGTTAAAGTTGCTGTTCAAACTTTTCACAACAAAATTTCTTCTCATAAAGTCTTCATGCAATTCTGGAGCCTTATCAGCAAGTTTGTACATGTCCAACAAATATAATGTTCCCCAAAAAGAATAGTTCACATGGTCAAATGCAAAGAAATAGGGGTACATTTTTCTAAAACTAGAACAAAAATGTATTCTCCAGTTTCCGCTTCTTTTAGCAAACTAAAATGGAAATGGACTTTACGGAAAGAAACATGCCGTAATCTGATTTTTGACTCAAGTTCACTGTCATACCTGCTGCTGTTCATTAAAATAATTTAAAACTTCTAATATTAAAAATCTCAGCTCAGTGGATTTCGTGCTATTAGTAAAAAATAATGCACAGTGATGCACTTTGGCAATCGAATATACAACACAACAGAATTTCAATGTAAAATCGACCCTAACATCGCCATCACTAGAGTCGATTTAAGGTTGACTTCAGATTATGAATCTCGCCCTTGCTCGCATCTGTGCGTTTGCCACTGTATGTCGTGACATGCCGTTCAATTTATTTAATTTTTTTTTAAACTATTTATCCAATTGACATTCTAAACAATCCGACATGTTCTCTGATGTTTGGTCTATAACTTTTATAGAAAGCCATTTTTTGCTAGACCCAATATTTTTCGGGGTAGATCGAGGAGAAACGATTTTAAAAATATGGGTTTTCAGACTCATTCTAAGTCATTTTGTATGAAGGCACTCCGTATACAACGATGGTTTGACGTATTTTTATAAATAAAATAAAAATATTTCTAATGTCCGGATCGATATGCAAATTTGAAGAATGAATTTTCGGATATCGTAGATCCGAAAAATGACGAAAAACAAATTAGCATTTTTTTTGTAAGGCTCTCCACCACTCCCCTCGCGCTACGATTTTTGGACGACCAAGTGATTTTGCATTAGAAAGATATTAGAAACGAATAAAAATAGGTTTTGCATTTTAGCAACAAAGTGCCCACCAAAATCTATTCTAGAAGCCTTTTTCCAGTCTTATTTACTCTTCAGTATGGAATTGTATTTACTCTTGTACAAAACTAATATTTTTATGTTAAAACACGAGTAGAATGTTAAAATGATATCTTTTGTTGTAGGTACAGATAAACTGTTTAGTTTAAATAATTTCCCCTTTTTAATTTTGTACATAAATAATAAACAAAAATAGCTTTGAGAATAGATTTCACAAATTCAATAAAACAGAGCATTTTAGTAATTCGGTTTACAAAGTTTATGTTGAATTATTTAATAATATACATAAAAATTATAATCATTACTTAGCTTCTGTTATCTTTGAATTTTGTTTCACTACTTCAACTGACCTCTGCCCTTGCAATATTTTTAAAATACAAAACACCATAACCGTAAATAACTTTACTGTTTGAGTAGGAAATATGCAATACAACACGAGCTCCGGTCGCTCGACTAATACTCTTTAGAGCTGGCAACAGTGTCTGATCTCGCGTTGATCTGTAAATATCTAAAATTTCGTATATAAGTCTTCCCCTTCCTTTTTCAGCTACGGATCTCATTTTGTTGTAAATTTATCAAAAAAATTTAAGTTCAAAAATCTTTTCCCCTCTAGGTGTGCCATGATTAATATGTTAATTATAAAGATAGTTATGAACAATATACTCCATTAATTAATTTCCTATTGGTGGATCTCGGGTTGTCCTCGATTTAATCGTATCTCGCCTTGATATGAAGACGTATATATATATATATATATTATATATATATATATATATATATATATATATATATATATATATTTGTTATATATACTCTCATAGAGAACGTGTCTGTCAAATTAAAATCAAAGACCATTCAAATGGTCACCTCTTGGACAATAATATTATTTATGTCTTAGATAAGGAAAGAGAGTCCCTTTTTCCTTGTCTAACTATCACCTTAATATAAATTTAGATCCCCGATCAATGTGCAAAAAACAAATTAGATTTATTAGAGATAATTGAACTTAAAGCTCAAAATAATGTGATTGATCTTTGTAGTTACTTCGTATTTTTAAAATGAATTTTTATTTTATAACCATTGTAATGAATCTTATTCAACCATCGGGAAGAAGAGAAAAATAATTTTGAAGCGCAACAGTTTATTTACTTCAAAATAACCAATTAAATTACAAAAAAATATATCGTTTTATTTCTTGATACCTCTATATTTATATGTTTGACATTAAATTTAATATAGTAAAATCACATACTCCACTAACATCAAATATTCTCAAGAAAAACTCTACCTGGTAATGTTATCTTAACTTCCAATATGATTGAAATATTTCCCTCTGCTCTGTGGCATTTTTTATTTATCCCATTAGTTTACCAATATTATGATCAGAACAAATTTAAATAGATGAGAACGATTTCCGAAGTGGAAATTGAAACGTCAATATACGTATTTTTTATCTTTAATTGTGGCTTATTCCCAGTTAAATAGTAATTAATATTATGATCATTGTTCATTATATGAAAAGAGCGTAAATTTAGTTGCATAAGCTTTAGTTGTAATATTAACGAGATTGTACCTAGTGAATAACCAAAGTGACATAGTCTATTATATAAAATTTAAAATAGAAGAAGTCCAGTACCAAAATATGTAAACGTCAAGCCTGTCACAGAATTTTAAAACTCCCAATGTAGTTAGTCATAAGTTTACTTTTGTTCTTTTCTTTTTCTTTAGTGGTAGGTAGTAATCACTACAATCCACAATTTAGTTCAATAGGAGGTATTTATTTCTTATCGCCTTATAAATTATTGCCGATGTCAACGTCTAGAAATAATGCCTGTCGGTCCAAACTTAGCCGAAACCCCTAGATGTGCGAAAATCAGAAAATTATCTGAGACCTTCATATATGTTTTGCTGCTATTTTTTGTTTACCCCATTTGGCACAAAAATGATGAGATTATTTTCCAGAAATACCTGCAGGATTTTAATAAGTCCTATGAAAATGATACAGTATATCAACAGAGATTTAAAGCATTTAAGGTAAGTTATTTACGTCAAAGTTAAAAACAGATATTAACTTCGTTTCTATGGATACGGTAGGTAGTATTACAAGGGAGATTGAAATATTTTTGGGCTCAGTAAATAATAGAAATTTACGTTGATTAAGTCAAATTTATTTAGAATTAAGGAGTTTATTCAAGACACACCACAGAAAATATTATTCAGCTAATATATCATATTGTTGATGTGAAAAATAGGAAGTAAAAAAGGCATTATATAGGTACATCATATTCTAAATAATTTCCATAGTCTGACAGCTACATTTTTTTTGTGTTTGTGTTGTGTTTGTCCATAATATATTTTAAAAGTAAGTAGCTACAGAAAATGCCGGTCATTAATTTACATGATGTTTGCCCTATAGACCCTAACTATTTCAATTCATGACTTTGTTTCCCTTCAATTAATTTTCTAAGAATGAAAAGTTGGATAATATATTTATATATTTTTTTCTATTTATATCTACATCTGTTGAAAACTTTAACTGTGTGCAAACTTTTTATCAATATCATTTCTTCCACCAATCTTATAATTGGCGACAAAAATGCATGTTGAATGTATATGGGTTTAAATGTGTAGTACTCTATGACTTTCACAACTGCTCCTCACTTTCTTTTAGATTTTAAATTCTTAAATCATTTTTTATATTTCCTTCTTCATTCATATAATGAATATTAGGCCTGTCACAATATATTGTAGTACAGTGAGAATTTAAGTAATCTTTTAGTTGCACCTTCCAGATTAGGATGATGACCTGTCATTTTTAGACAATATTTTTATCTAAAACATGATGATTATGATTTACTTCAGCACTTTTATTCTACTGAAGATTTGATACATATTCAATCTTTCATAATTTTTTTGTTTGTTATTGATTCTTCTCATTGCTTCTGCATTTAACAGCTCCTCAAAGGAGTTAGTAGTTTAAGCATATTGACACACTAAAAAATCATGGAAGATTTTTTTTGAAGAGCATAAACATAGTCATTCAGTGAATTATGGAAGATAGTAATGTATTTTTTAGATTTCAATTTAACTAATAATAATTACTTTTTGATTGATAGAAAGAAAGAGATTGAAAGATTCTAATTGATAGCCATTTGGGAGCACCCAATTTGTATGTTTCTCCCCACTCTCTCTCTCTCTCTCTCTCTCTCTCTCTCTCTCTCTCTCTCTCTCTCTCTCTCTCTCTCTCTCTCTCTCTCTCCTCTCTCTCTCTCTCACACATACACAACCAAAATAAAAAAGAAGATTCATCCTTAAGTTTGATGTACACATGACTAAAAAAAATAATTTTTTCTTGAACTGTACAAATCATACAAATAACATTGGATTTTCTCTACCCTACAAGTTTTTGCTGTGTAATTTTTCAATTGAGAACATTTTTTATTTTCAAATTAGTTAGTCACTGTTTATAAATATATTTTATAATATAATTTTATACCAATAACATATTTGACCTTTGCACTGCTTATCATCTACTTGAATGTCTGGCATCCTAATGTCTATTAATTTAATTTATTTTTTTGGTATGTAAATTATCATTTTGCTCTTGGATTTAATTACTTTTCTATATTAATTATTTAGAATGTCAAAGAACTTTGCAAAGTTTATTTTTTATCAGTCAGATAATGTTAATAATTTTAAATTTAATATGGTAAATATTTTTTATATGTATATACATGAAATTATCTGTACCTTTAATTAGGGTCAATCATGGTTTTTAATACTGTCAATTGTTTAAGAGAGAACATAATATCGTCCCTACCATTTCCAACTAGTGAATCTGAAAAATCTGGTTTTTCAGATTTGATACCTTGTCCTTGCATTAGATGTGATCACCTTGTAGCAAAATATCTAAATTGTAGCTTGATAAGGAACGCGGGAAAATTTTGTTTAAACCATCGAATATGAACATTTTGTCATTTTGTTTTGGTCAAAATATTGAATATACAATGACGAAAATGAAATATTCGATAGTTGTGTTTTGTATAAATATAACTACTTAAAGGCATATTTGTACAACCCAAAATGACGAATATATCACATTCATTAGTTTCAGTGTTGAAATTGATACATGTATATTATTGATACATGTACATGTATATGTACATGTACATGATTGATGAAATTGCTACATGTATATTTAAATACATCATGTCTTACGCTGACATTGAAAATGTTAAAAGTGATGTCTTACAATTGCGGAGGACAACAGAAAAACTTTGCTTTTTCTGCCATGTGTCAATATGTTGTAAATTGTCACCTAAATTTAAAAACAATTGACCATGTGTTTTTTGTACCGGGTCATTCAGAAATGGAATGCGATTCTGTTATTTCAAAAATTGAATCTAACTTAAAAAATTCCCCTGTATACACTCTTGTAGGATGGGCACAAATCATAAGACTTGCACGCACTAAGCCATATTCGTTTGAAGTGACATACCTACTTCATGACAACTTCTTAGATTTCAACCAAAGAAAGGTGACATTTGCACTAGAAAATAAAATAAAACCAAAGAACAAGCAAAATCAATATGAAGAAGAAAATGAAGTAAAAGATGAAGAGCAAACAAGCAATGGAAATACTAATTTTAAATATAGTGATGGTATATAGTACTTGCTCCAACTGATTATGCAGGGAAAGATCCAAGGAAAGAGAAGCATAGGGAGGCGTAGAACATATGGTACCAGTATCGTCAAAATGAAAATAACTTTTTATGAAGAATACAATTAATGGAAACTTTTTATCTCTTGAAACCAAACAAAAAAGAGGCAAACAAAATAGTATAAATGTGTATGTGAACAAAACTTAATACCTAGGCCATACCTCCAATAATACCAATCTTTACCAACATCTAGTACTGCCAGAGATTGTCTTACAGAACCTGACGCAATTGAAGACAACAATAACGTTTAATTCAAAATTTAAAACTTTTAATTTACCATTATTTTACAACAATTGAGGGTCATGACTGAGTACTTGAGGTAACTACAGTACGTGAAGTTCCATAATTAATGTTTTTACGTTTCTAATTACATTAATTTTCTAGCAATACATACTAAAGTAAACTTTATATTCGGATTCAGTGACTTCAAAAACATTAAGTATGTGCAAAATTGGCCATTCCCCTAACAGTTATTGTTTGTTTTCAATAGAGTGCCATTTTAGGGGTAATTACTGTTTGCTTAATGTGTAGTACTCCTTACTAGTTGAATTACTATTTAATTTCATTTTTTAGCAATCTTTAGAAAACATTGAAATATTGAACACCAACCGATCCAATGATTCTGCAACATATGGACTGACCAAATATTCAGATTTATTTCCTGAAGAATTCTACAACTCAAAACTCATTTTAAAACTACCTGACTATATAAGTAACAATTATACCAATAAGAAATCAGCTAATAATCGTACTGCGAAAAAACGTTCCCTACATAAAGTTATTCCAAAAAAACTAGATTACAGAAAAAAAGGTGTGCTTAGCGAAGTTCAAACACAAGGTTCCTGTGGGGCATGCTGGGCATTTTCTGTGATAGGAATTATTGAGACTATGAATGCACTAAAAAGAGGTAATTTCATATTTACTTGATTTATCAAATTCCAGTATTTCATTATTACATGTGTGAAAACTTTTAAAATTCTAATAAATTTTTTACGAGATTTACGATCTACTAAACTATTCATGGATAAGGTGTGTGGCATTAAAAGTAACAACGAAGCGGCCGTATTGTATGGAGAACTTGTATGGTACCTTATTATGCCTTACTTAATGTTATTTACACTATTTAATTAAATGTTAAATGTTTTGTTTCCCGTGTTACGCCCTCTAATTAGAACTTTTGCCGCATCGTGTCGCCTCTTTCGTTTGCCATCGCCAATTATACAATTTTCATTTCTCGCCCTAATAAATTGTCTAGAGATTATTTGCCAGTTATCTTTAAGTCTGTATTATGTCTATTAACCGTTTATTAAGTTTTTGTGTTATTTTGTTCATTTTGATAGTTTGTAATTTGAAAATGCGCTGAAATGCTTGTAAATAAATAATATATATGGACGATTTAACCAATGTCCATTACTTATCTAATTATCAGATTGCTTACTTGAAAATAAACTGTTTTTTTTTTTTTTTTTTATTTACAATTTGCTTCAACCACAAGGGTTATTAGCAATGAACAGTATTGATATCAAATTACAAAGCTTATATTAAATTTGGTTAATGAGTCCTATAGTATGTAAAAAATTGAGAGTCTTAGATGAATTATTTTCACTTAACAATCTTTAAATGTAGTTGGTAACTGTTGATGTTGTCGTTCTATAACGTAGAGGGGACAGTCTATTATTATATGTTGCGCTGTTAGTTCACTATCACACACATAACACATTGGAGGGGCTTCCTTCTTTAATATAAAGTCATGGGTGATCTTCGTATGACCAAGTCGTAATCTGGACATGAGCACGTGGTCTCTTCTCTTAGTAGGATGTTTCGACGGCAATACATTTTGTTTGATTTTTCTTAATGTAGAGTTTGATTTATTCCAATTTGTTTGCCATTTTGTCATGATCTTGTTCTTAAAATATTGCTTTAGATCAGTATGAACGCAAGTAGTTATGATGTCTGTTAATGGATGCTCACTCGCATTTTTTGCTAATATGTCAGCTTTATCGTTTCCAGTTATCTCGCAATGTGAAGGTACCCAGAGGAACTGAACTAATCTTTGATTTTGTTGGCATATCAAGAGTTCCGACTTAATTAAAAGCAGGACAGGATGTTTGGGGTATATTTGCTTTAAGGCTGTTAATGCACTTAGGGAGTCGCTAATGATTATTGAGAATTTAATGTCATGTGTGTTAACAAATTTTAATGACTGGAGGATAGCAAAGAGTTCAGCTGAAAATATGGAAGTTTGGGGAGGGAGCTGGTAGAAACTGTTATAGTTATCTGTTGTGAAAGCCGCTCCTACTCCATTTGCAGATCTGGATGCATCGGTATAAATATGAATGTGATTATTAAAATAATTTAATATCTCTAATAATTTCTGATTGAAGATTTTTGCTGGTGTGACACATTTCTTGAATGCAGATAGGTTTGTATTACAATCAGGGAGAACAATTGTCCATGGTAGCATGCTTTGACTGACTTTAAAAATATTGTAAGTGGGTGGAATTATTGTGTCTAAGCTTTGTAGAGTTGCTCTAACTCGATGATAAAACGGAGGATCCAATCTTTTTCCCCTATTAAATGTCGATGGAAATCTATCTGTAAATGTGTTTTTATAAACAGGTAGCTGTGGGTTAGTTGATACTCTAGAGGCATACATGAGGCTAAGGTATTCTCTCCTAAGTTGAAGGGATGGTTCGCCTGATTCAACATACATACCTTCAACTGAGCTTGTGTAGTGTGCTCCCAGTGCAATTCTAATTGCTGAATTATGAACCGTATCTAGCACTTTTAATAGTGAACCTTTGGCTGAGTTGTAGGCAACAGCAGCATAATCTAGTTTTGAACGGATTAGGGTTTTGTATATAGTCATAAGAGTTTGGAAATCGGCACCCCATTGTTTATGAGAGATACTTTTCATTAAGTTAACGCCGTTTTGAACTGACAGACGGAGGGAGTGGATGTGGTCTTGCCAAGATAGTCGGTTATCCAGTTTTACTCCCAAGAAGTTAATCGATTCTGAATACTTTATTGGTAAATTTTTTAGGTAGAGTTTCGGTGGATTTATGTATTTCTTTGGAGTTTTACTGAAAATCATTGCTTTCGTTTTAGTGGGTGAAAATTCTAGGCCAGTAGTATTAGACCAGTTCTCTAATTTGTAAATGGCTTGCTGTATATGGGTCGTCATTGTTGATATATTTTTACCACGACAGAATATAACAAGATCATCAGCAAATAAACGGGGTTTGACTAATGGGCTAAGTGACTTAGCGATGTCATTGATGGCAATAAGGAAAAGTACAACACTAAGAGTAGACCCTTGAGGAATACCATTTAATTGGATTTTGGAGTCTGAAAGGAAGTTATCTATTCGAACTTTGAAGTTTCGCCTATATAAAAAATTATTAATAAATTTGATAATATTTCCTCTAATCGACCAACTTGACAGAATTTTTATGATATCTGATCTCCAAATTGTATCATATGCACGCGTTATATCAAAAAATACAGCCAGACATACTTGACCACATCCAAATGACTCATGAATTACGGATTCAATATCCACTATGTTGTCTAATGTAGATCTGGACTTTCTAAATCCACTTTGTATAGGGCTAAGTAGCTGTCGATTTTCTAGGTACCACGTTAGTCGGATGCTTACCATTTTTTCAAGTACTTTACACATAGTAGAAGTTAGAGAGATTGGTCGGTAAGACTCTGGGTCCAATTTATTCTTGCCTTGTTTAAGAACTGGTACAATAATGGAATCATACCAATCAATTGGGAAAACATTATTTGTCCAAATGAAATTATAGAGAGCCAAAAGATATTGTTTGCCTTGGCTAAAAGCTATCCCGTTGGCATAGCTTTTAAAAATGTCGTAGGTATGTTGTCAGGCCCTGGGCTAGTGTCTTTAACTTTGTTTAACGTTTCTAACAGTTCGTCCATCGTAAATGTAACATTTAGAGGTAAATTATTGTGGTCATCAAGATTTATACAGGCATTATTAACTTTATTTTTATGGACTAGGAAAATTGTAGATAGATTTTCGTCACTGCTATGTTGTTGGTATACGTTTGCTAGTACGGAGGCTATTTCTTGCTTAGTTGAATAAATATGGTTATCATGTTCTAGGTAATGAATGGTGTTAAATGATTTTTTCCCGTACATTCTGCTTATCATTTGCCAAACCTCAGAAGTCGAGGTAGATGAATTTAAAGATGATACATAGTTTTTCCAAGCTTCTTTCTTACTCTTTTTTAAGGTGTATCTACAGTACGCCCTTAATCTTTTGAATTCAAGCTGGTTATTTAAAGTTGGGTGCCTTCTAAATTTATAAAATGCCTTTTTTGAATCTTTAATGGCTGCCTCGCAATGAGAATTCCACCACGGGACTGGGGCACGTTTTTTTTTGGAAATTTTGAATAACCTATGGACTCGTGAGCTATTGACGTTAAAAACTGTACGAAATGGAGTACTTTGGAGTTGATATCAATATCTGTATCGAAAGGCTGAACCAACTGAGAAATTTTTTGTGAAATTAAAGAGGAATAAAGACACCAATCTGCATTTTTCAAACACCATTTATTGGATGGAACTGATGAGGAGATATGGTTATTGTTTATAATTAGGATAGGAAAATGATCACTTCCATGCAAATGAGATGTCACATCCCACGACAGAGTTGGTTGTAAGACAGAGTCACAAGGGATAAATCCCATTTGTGGTGACCCATTTCCGGTGGAAATATTGAACCTTGTGATTCTTCCATCGTTAAGGATATTCATATTAGAATCGGTAACAATTTGTTCGATTTTACGTCCCAAGGAATCGTCTTCCATCGTTAAGGATATTCATATTAGAATCGGTAACAATTTGTTCGATTTTACGTCCCAAGGAATCTGTTTTTTTTGCCTCCCCAAAGTATATTGTGAGCATTAAAATCACCTAGTATAATACGCGGTTCTGGAATTTGATTAAAGAGATCAGTTATTTTCATTTATGGACGGGTCTAAGTCCGGAGGAAAATAAATATTACATATATTAACTTTGTGGGGGCCTTTTATAGATACTGCTGTTGCCTCCAACTCAGTTCTTAAACGTATTACTTCGGTATTAAATGAGTTATGGACATATATTACTACTCCCCCACTAGCATGACTAGCAGTTATTCTGTTCTTATAATACGGAGTATAGTTTCTTAAATTATGACAGTTATCTTCTTTGAAGTGGGTTTCTTGTAGGCATATTACAGATGGTTTAAATTTAGCTATAATTAATTTAAGTTCTTCTAAATGGGTGTAATACCCATTTAGGTTCCATTGAAGTATACAGTTGAATGTTGTATTAAATTTCAGCAGAGGCGTCGCTGCTGTGATCACTGTGATCAGTAGAGAAAGAGGATAATACCTGTTTATTAATTTTAGATTTTATTCTTGTACAGCGACTTTTCAGATACTTGGGAGTTAATGCTGGATGAATTTTAGTTAAAAATTTTAGTAGTCCTTCGATATCTTCTGTATACGTTTTAGCAATGCTGAGAGGATCAGCAGAGCCGTGTGCGTTTTCGAAGAAATCAATTAATTCTTCCTGGGTTAGATATTCGTTATCAGAATTATCTTGAAAAAAAGAACTAGTGCATTTAGTAAGATCTTCTGCTAAATCCTTATTAACTTCAGGAACAGTTTTTGCTTTCTTAGATTTACGGAGAGGTTCTTTAAATGGGTTCTGGTCTACTGATGTTGGAGGAGACGTTATTTCTGATACCGTTCGTTTAGACGATTGACTGTCAGAGGACGTAGGAGGTTGATTTTGGCTGTGAATATTCATTTCAACGTTATCTGGTTGGATAGGTGTTTGAATAGGATTTGAATCTAATAGAGAAGTATTGGTTGTTTCTGTTGATTGTGAACTGGTAGATTGTTGTAAAGATTGTGAATGATGGATAGTTTGCTGTGCATCTGTTATGTTGGGGTGACAATTTTGGATATAATTTGATTGAGAAGTAGGTGATGAGTTTTCGATAGATGTTTGAGTGTTCGTATTTTTTGTGCATTGAGAGTCTAGATGACCTTGTTGTTTGCAAATGTAGCATGACTGTTTTTCAAGTGAAAAATATATTCGATAATTGATTTGTTCGTAGTTAATTAATATAGACTCAGGAATATTTTCTAGATTTTTAGGAGTAATGTAAGTATAACGTCGGAAACTCAAGATATGCTTAAATAAAGAATTAGTTGTTCCTATTCTTAGAAAATCCAATGGAGTTATTTGATGAATTCCAATATTTTGTAGTTCAGTCTCTATAATACTGTGAGGTATTGATGGGTGGATATTAGAAATTATCAGTTTTTTCGCTTGGTGTGATTAACTTCCTGGCTTGGATACGTTCCTGATTGATTAGTATGGTTCCATTATCTCTTCCTAAAAATTGGGTGACTGTCTCTTCAGTAGTAAAATATATGCAAATACGATCATTTGCAATCCTGGAAATGGCGAGAATTTTATTGGGATCGACCTTAGTTGCTATGGCATTTAAATAATCTTCAATTTTGGTATTTGGAAGTGAATTGAACAAAATGGCTTGGTTTTTGCTTGGGAATTTTTTGTTAGGTGTAGTCAGAGCGGTTGAATATAATTTTGATTGATTGGATGGATTAATGACATCTTGAGAATTTTGAAGTTCAGAAGTTCTTTCCTCTGAAATTTCCTGCATATTGGGCCTATGTTGCCTGATTACGGCCCTGGTGCTTGGACAGGTTCATAAGTAATAAGTAATTAAGCTACTTAATTAACTCGCTACTGGTATTTATAACCGTTGTTTACTGCTTATTGATTAAAAAATAATAATAAAGATGGTCTAACTTACAGTTTGATCCCAAAATTTGATTAAGCACTATATAATACACTATTATACCAACTTTGATAATTTTCTAACAAGTAAAACCACCTTAATTTTGATAAAAACTAAGAGCTAATTGGAAACACTGTTTACTCGTCAAGCTCGTTTTGTAATCCTCGAAAATAAATTGTTCTTGATATATTTTCTCGTTTTACTTAACGTGTAGAACAATTATTGTAAATAAAATTAGAATATACAAATAAATCAGAAATATAATAAAATATTAGTTATTATACCTTCTTTTATTTTTAAGACAAATTCACCAAATTGAGTGTCCAACAAATGATAGACTGCTCGGAGTTCAACTATGGCTGTGATGGTGGAGATATTTGTTCTTTACTAAATTGGTTAACATCGTTTAATGTCAAGATACTTCCAGAGAAAATATATCCTCTTACTTGGGAGACGCAAAATTGTAAACTACTTGATGATGACGAGGATGGAGTTCAAGTTGAGGATTTTGGATGCGACAGGTATAATATTTTAGAAAAATTCAAACACTTTTTGCTTATTTCTGTATAAAGAAACCTTTTCAAATAGTTGAATTTATCCTTTCCTTTGATTGTTACGTTGTCGTCAATCTATAGATCTTCTCTGTCGATAATGTCTTCTTCACTTGTAGATAGGTATTCTGTTTTCTCGAGCTTAATATCTAGGCCAGCCTTGGTATATTCTTTTAGTTTCTTCTGAGGTCTTCTTGGTCTTGTGCAATCTGTACTTGATCGTCTACAAAGCTTAACATAGGCAGGTATTCGTTTCGTAATGGTACTCCAATGTTGAGTATGTTCTTTTTTTCCAAGGGCTTCGAATGCTGCTTGTTTTATACTCGCCTTTATATGCTCATTTATTTCTTCGATGTTGCCGTATGTGAATTCTATTAATTTTAGGTCTAGACGTTGTTTTTATAGTTCTCTTATTGATTGTTCTTGGAGTAGTTCTGTTGTACTGTTTTTCTCTTATAGTGTTCAACGGTTCTTGTGTAGAGTGGGTCTTGTTATATTTTCAATTAATGCCATCAGAAACAGCAGTACCTATATTCATATACGTGGAAACTGACTAAGGCTTATAAACCTTATATACTATACTTTGGTACACCTTATATACCAAAGTATCATTACAATACACATACCACAAACACTTGCTGTTTTAATTGTAAAGAATTTTTGTTGTGAGCACACTTAATGATACTATTTTTTCTTTTAGTTTCGAAAACGAGGAAGACATCATGCTTTACCTTCTTGCAAATTTGGGGCCTCTTGCAGTTAGTATTAACGCCCAAAGTTGGCAGCATTATATAGGAGGAGTCATACAGTACCATTGTGACGGCAACATGTTAGAGTTAAATCACGCTGTACAAATTGTCGGCTATGATTTAACTACTCCTGTTCCCTACTATATTGTCAAAAACTCATGGGGTACAGATTTCGGCGATGAAGGGTATTTGTACATAGCCATTGGAAACAATATATGTGGCCTGGCACACGAAGTGGCCTCAGTAATAGTTCTGTGATCTACGTAATTGTTGAGATTTGTTTTAAAATAATTTATATATAATTATATATTTTTAAGCAACTATTTTTGTATAGAATATGGAATAAAGTTTTATTAAGTTTTGTACTTTATTTCAACTGAAGTGTACTAATAACCTCTTTTAACAAGGAGATATAAGAATAATTTCAATACACCAATTTGGATTCCAAAAGCAACATCGAATAGTATATTGCTCCACCATATTCATACATACGGTATGGTGCAAATGAAAGGAATAAATTTGTTATTTTGTAAACCGGCGACTTTAAGGAGAAATCCGGAAACCCGTCGATTTTTATTTTTTAACAGGCTGTTCGTAAGGATACCTTGTTGTTGTTGACGTCATCTATGTGATCGTGATGATGTCATTGCTAAAATTTTTAAATGGAAGTGTAGATGTTCTAATACATTATTTGAAAGTTCTATTAAATACCTATTCAGTCAATTAATAAATTTTTTTTATTACAATAAATATTTATTATGTATTATTCATTAAATAGAGCCAAATCAGGTGAACTAGGCGGCCATTTTATTGTTCCTCTTTGATCTATCCACCGTTTTGGAAAGTCGTACAGAAGCTGAACTCCAGTATATAGCGGACCATCTAAGTGATGAAGAGTATTGTCTTTCTGAATTTAATAACGATGAGTATGCGGACGACAATTTTCCTGAGACAAGCTCAATTTCCAGAATTCTGTCATAATCCTAGACTGCTAGTATGTTCCAGTATTTCAGTACAGTATTTGAAAAGAGTGCGCCAATGTACTCTTACAAGGAAGACAAATAATTCTAGCAGAAATTAGGATTTTGATGGTTCGGATTAAGATCCTGACTTTCATCCAGATGATGGATTTGGTTTCAAATATAACAAGTTGGCTAGGTTATTTCCTAAAAACATTTTTTTTATGTAGAAAACGTGGATGAACAACTGTTAATATTACCTCTAGCAACAAATTCCTTAACTCCTGCTTATAAAGACTAGAAAGAGGAATAAGCTCCTGCTCCTTCAAATCAATCTTTTACGCCCCCAATCTCCTTTTCGAATCATTTGATTTTACTGAGTTTTCAAGTATCAATGTTGATATTAACTCGAGTAAGCCAAACGATTTCTTCAGAGTTTTCTTTAGTGAGAGTATCTGTCAAACAATTTCCAAAGAATCAAACCTCTATGCTAACCAGAAGAATTCGCAACTTTTTATGGAAAAGGAAGAACTCAACGCTTTCTTGAGAATACTATAGTCATGGGTTTCCACAGCCTTCCAACAATAAGGTCATACTGGTCCAGCAATGAAAACTTCCATGTTGAACGTGTGAATAAAGTATTTACATTAAAAAGGTTGCTGAAAGTCTTGAGATTTTTGCATCTAAACAATAATGAAAATATGTCTCAACCGAAAACTAAAGAGTTTAATGGCTCTACAAACTTAAACAACTCATAAACCATCTTTCAGAGATACTTTTACGCCATATAGACACCTATCTATTGACAAAAGCTTGTGTACTTTCAAAGGGCTTACATCACTAAAACAGTACATATGTTGGGAGAATGTGTTGTTTTAGAACGTACGTCGAAATATCAAAATTGTGGTTATTTTATATTGTTTCACTACAATACCACTGATGCAGAAACTACTGGAAAAGAAAACTTTTGCCTGTGGCAATGTAAGGCAAACAAGAAAATATTTTCCAAAACAAATATTGTGTGTTGATAAAGGGCTTTCCCACAATTAGTCAGATTCGGTTAATTTTGGGGAAATATCTGTGTATAAGTGGAAAGATAGAGGCGTAAAATGTGTTAGTATTGTTAGTAACCTACATAATTTTCAAGAAAAGACTCAGGTTTTGAGAACAAACAAAACGTCTAAAATAGAAATTTTAAATACAATTAAAACAAGAAAATTGGAATATCTCGAGAGAAGCATAGAGAGATGTAGAATGTTGTGGCTGCGCAACCTAGGAGAGTGGTACGGATGTAACCTTGGTACGGATGCAAGTAGGGATGTACACCAAATGAATTTTCAGAGCAACCGTCTCAAAAGTTCGAATAGCTACGATGATTGCCGACCTCCGCCACGGAGATGACACTTGAAGAATAAGATTATCCCAGCAAGTATTAGTTGTTTGTCAAAATGCCCTTTCCAGTCCTGACAAAAAAAAATTTTTTCAAACATTTTTTGTCTCGTTAATTAATGATATAATGAATTACTTTTACTATTCAAAAAGTACATTTTTACAAAAAAAAAAAATAGTTCTGCCCGTTAAAGGGTTAAGGATGGATTTTCTGCTGCCCAGTACCGATAAGTTTGACGATTGACATGACCGTTTGCTAGAAATGTAGCTTCATCAGAAAATAATATTTTTTTCAACATCGGACTAACTAAACTTACTCCACTAAATTTTCTTTGTAGAGATGATACTTTTCGTTCTTTAGCTTTCTAAGAACTGTTGAATGGTCCACGTCATTATCTAATGGTCCTTGCTGTGAACTAGTATGGGAAATATTATGAAAGGCCAATAGAACCTCTAGTTGTTTGTTTTCTAGTTCCTTAAGGGAGGTCTTTGACATGACCTGTCTCTTTGAATCTTGTCAATTTTGCTTACAGTGGTTTGTGAAATTGGTTCTGGGTTTGGGTATCTATTATTAAATAACGTACATATTCTTTCATCGTACGTGTTTTATCTCCACCACCAATCATTATTAGAATTTCAATTCTTTGCATTTCCCTCAGCTTCATGTTGATAGATACAAAGACTTTTAAATACGTTTACCTACTACAATAATACTATTATATCACTTGACAGAGAGTTAATTAAGTTTTAATGTCCATCTGTCTCAAAACTCTTCAGACTCGTTCTAAAATTTTCAAATATATTTCTTTCTTTTAATTTCTGTAACACTGCATCTAAAGAAACATGTTCTTTTTTTAAGCATTTTAACTATAGTATAACGGATTTAAAATTTGCAACTTTCGGGAAGACCTATAGTTCTTGGTTGTCAACGAGGTTTGTATGGTGCGACATTTTGATCACTTAATCCACTTTGTGCTTTTTGCAAAACTGACTTTGATTTTGTTTCACCAATACAGAGTGTATTACACAAACACACACACGCTTATGAACAGGTAAAACTGGTAGCAAAGGGCCCCATTGGATTGGTTATTTATATCTAAAACACGTCTCGGGATTTTAGGCTTTAATGCACAAACAGACAAATGTCGTCAATTTAATACTTTTTTTTTTCAAATTATGTCAAACTAACAGTAGATCCTTTTTATTAAAATAATTATTAGAGCGATTTGGTACTTCTTAAGTTGCACAGTAAATTATTTGTTGTCTCGTTAATCCAAAACAGTCGTATAGTCGTGGAATAGACTATATTAAGATTGTTTATGATTTTAGGCAAGCAATTGAAATTTATTTTTATCAAATATAAATGTGCTATACATTATATGATTATATAAAGAATGTAAAAGAAATCCAATTGAGCCCACGAAGACTTCAATGACTTCAAAAAATAAAGAAAGGTAAAGCAGTTGGAATAGATGATACTCCTGGGGAAGTGGAGACAGCATTAGAAGAGACCACTACAAGTTGGCTAAGAGGTTTATTTAATAGAATTATGGAATTGGGACAAATACTAGATGAATGGAGAAACTGTAGGTAGGTATATTAGTATCTGCCTGTTTATAAAAATAAGGGAGATATATGATAAAGCATAATAAGAAAGGTAAAAAAGACAAATAATACTAATTTTACCAGACAAACTTGGCAGAAACCCATTTAGCGGGTTTAGCAAAGAAAAGAAGAGACATTAACATTTACATTTACAATAACAAATAACAGAAAAAATTAACAACGAGAAAAAAGGTGGTTTGTTTTTAAATTTGTTTGTATCTGTTACCATTATAAAAATTGGTAACAGTGCATGACAATGGCACAAAATTATACAGACACCTGCAATGTTTAGTAGTTACAGAATCATCCTACACTTTTTTCTGAAAAAATATAAAATATATAATGTATAATAATATATAATTAATTAAAACAAACTTAAAAACTAAAAACAAGTACATACACATATTTTTCATAAATACTCTTAGACATTACTAAATTATTCATTTCCAAATGTATATCCATAATATCCAAATTATTTTCATTTAAAATATACAATCCGTCAACTGGAACATTAGTCACATTTTATATAACTGGGAATTTGACATTTAAAAATTATATTATAATTTTATAAAAATCTTACTATATTTATTTAATGATATTGAAAGAAAGTATCATAAGAAAATATTTCTATTTAATAAAGTACAATTATTTAGAATTAAATAAAAAATATGATCAAATTTGAAAAAAATATATTTAAGTAGCTACTATAATTTCAAGTCAGAAGGTGGCTTTGAGTTTGACATATACCTACACTGTGATTGTCAGTCTGTGTTCATGAATACATAATTAAACTGTTCAAATTATTAAAAGATTTTAAAATAAAATTTCTATTAAAATAATTATAAGGTAAAATTACTCAAGCAAAAATGGATACCGATAAGGACTGTAAACTTATTCAAGGTTAGTACTAAGTAAATATAATTATTAATAAGTGGTCGCAATTCTTTGCCTAAACTTCCAAAATACACTGCTCTAAATTTAAATTACTTACTTAATATAAATTATAATATGGTTTAATATTTAAACAATGTGTTTCTTTGTATGTCATTTAATAACATTATTTTAAATGGACAATAGTTGAAATCTCTTTTATTTTATGGTTCTTTTAAGAAACTTAAAATTTTGCTATTCAAAAATTTGGCCCCTCCTACTTACACTAAAGAAATATTATTTTCATAAAAACGTTTTTCAAGAAACATTATTATAACGAATACAAATTCCGCGTTTCTTTAACACTTTCAGTGCTTACCGTGTAAGCTGATATTATGCGTGCCATAAACTGATTATTAAAATAAGAATGGTATTTTGGATTAGGTGGTTTTGTTTGTGTAGCTGCTTAAAGTCATTTCAACCAATTTTTTGTGTATACGTTTTAAAAAAAATATTGAATACAAGAGCCGTGGGCTTTAGCGTGAAGCCAAAATTGACATTTCAAGCAAAATTCTGCGTATTTGTATGATTTTTAGGATTCAGTGGCATTTTCTCTATAATAAATTCAAAGTGATGAAAAAATGAGTACTTTTATATGGTTTTTTTCTTTTATAGATGAAACCCAGAAAATGATGGAACTCCTGGAACATCAAATGGAAGAAATATCTTGCCTGGAGGAAAATATCAGAAAGAACGAGAACCATTTCAAGAATTTGGAAAGTTCAGTTAAGGATTTTAAGGTAACCGTTAACAAAAACTTCGCCAATTTCGAAAATAGAACGATTTTAAAAACGCACCTTGAAGATATGAACAAAGAATTTATGTCAGCAGCACAGACACTATACGCTACAATAATACCTTTAACCAAAGTCATCGAAGTGGAAGATTCCAAGATGAACGAGATGAGCAAAAAAATTGAAGAAAATGAAGGAAACTACAATGTAATAGTTGAAAAAGTTAAAGAGGAGAAAAATAAGCTGCTGCAGGCTATCGAAGATAATCGTAAGATCAATTTTGAAAAAGAAAAAAGCAGGAAATCTTTAGTTGATGAAAATGACAGTCTAAAGTTGGAACTTGAAAGCTTGAATATAAAAATAAAAGAAATTAAAGAGAAATTAGATCCCCTTAATTCTAAAGAAGATGCAGCTGCTCTAAGAACTGATATTACAAGATTGAATATAGATAATGAAAAATTAGGCAAAGAGATACTTGAGCTGGAAACATTCAGGCAGGCCAAAATAGAAAAGTTGACCGAAAAAGGAATTATTCCGACAAATCTCACGGAACGTTATAAAGAAGTATCTCAACTTCAAGATGAGTTAAAAACGGCTGTGAATGTATTGGAAACATCTTTGCTTGAACAAAAAAGTTCTGAAACGTTGCTGTTCGAGTTAGACGGTGAGCTAAAGAAGACCGAAAATGAGTTGGAAACACTGAGAGCTAATGCAGACTTGAACGAAATAGAAAGTATTGAAAATAGGTTTGCTCAAGAAATACAATCTTACGGTGAAATTTTATACAAACATGAAACCCGTTTAACATTGAACAAAAACTTGGATATGGAGTTGACACAAAAGATAGAAGCATATAAAAATGATATTAATCTTATAGATTCAGATATTCAGATGTTGGAAACGACTATAAAAACACTTGAAGAAAGGCCAGATGAGGATATATACCAACTTATGAAGTCAAACGAAGAATATCTAGAAGAATTAACATCAAAGCATAATAATTTAAACGAAGAACACTTCGTTTGCTTAACGAAGAAGCAAGAGCAGTTTCAAACATTGATAACAGAGTTGGAAACAGAGAATAAGAATAAGGACGAGTACATCAAATCTGTGGATAATGAAATTAAAGATATTCTAGATCAAATCGTCTACTTAGGAGAAGAAAAAGCTACTTTAGAAAATGAATTGAAAGAGCTAGAAAAGCAGTTACATGCGTTCCGTATTCCGAAGCCAGTAAAAAAGGCGTCTGTTGCTCCGGTGCCGCCTAAGGCAGTGCGTAGATGGGACAGTGATACTTCAGTAGAAAGTGAAGATTGTACAAGATTAAATAATTTCTTGAAAAAGGCTAAAATTGTCTCAAAAAAATGAGAGTAACATTTTTATTTCCACTGGTGTTGTATTATCATTAATGTATCATGTCATCATGTAGTTTGTTTTGTTCATAAATAGTTGTTAATTTCTTTTGTTATCTTGAAGAGATTCGAATAAGTTTAAACAGAAATGTATTATGTTAATTTAATCTAAATAAAATCATTTGTTATATTGTTAACATTTTCATTTTTTACATTTCATTGAAATTTTTAAATATGGAATAAAGGTATTTAATTTTGATTTCTTCTTCTTTCGATGCCATATTTGTAACGAAAAAGCTAACATGAGTAGATGGTGAAAAGCTTATCGTTCTCCAAGACTATACGAAGACCAAGTTGCTCAATTCGGAGCTTCATTGGGGGTAGGTAAAGATATTGCACACTATATTAAAAGTGTCCACACTAGACAAAGAATATGATCGATGTCCACGTCATGACGTGAAAATCATTGCTGGGGACCTTAATGCAAAAATTGCCAAAGAGCAATTTTTCCAGCCAACTATAGGACGTGAGAGCTTACATGAAGAGTCAAATGATAACGGGTTGAGACTAATAAACTTTGCAAGTACTAAAAACATGTTAGTAGGAGGAACAAGAGATAGATGCAAGGCACTCCTCCGATCTCATAGACGTCAGAAGCTACCGAGGCCCAAACATTGACAGTGACCACTTTCTTGTAATGGCAAAAATCAGAGGAAGAATATCAAACCTAAAGAAAGATAAACACACGAAACAAGACAGAATTAATGTTGATAATCTGCGCATTGAAACCGTTGCGAGAGAGTATAGGAGACAAATGGACGAGGAAATGGAGAGCTTGGAGATGGGGGAAAATGTAGAGGAACTATGGACAAAATGTAAAAACATAATAACTGATAAAGCAACAAAAATATTGGGGAAAACCAAACCAGTTAAAGAAAACGAATGGTTTGACAAGGAGTGCCAAGAATGAACAGATAACAAAAACAGGGCATACCTAAAGACAAATCAAGCTGGATGCACAAGAAGAGCAAAGGAAGAATACCGGACACTAAGAAGAGAAGAAAAACGATTACATAGAAGAAAAAAAAGACAATTTGAGCAAAAGCAGTTGGAAAGCACAGAATGGCTAAGAAATCAAAATGAAACGCGGAATTCTTCTTAGAGTGCCGTCTCCCTACGGAGGTTGGCAATCATAATGGCTATTTTTATTTTAGAACTTGCTGCTCTAAACAAATCAATCGATCTGCATTGGTACCAATCACGTAGATTCTTTAACCATGAGTTCTGCCTTCGGTCAACAGATCTTCTTCCTTGAATCTTTCCCTGTATTATCAGTCTCAAAATTTCATATTTTGGTCCCCTCATCACGTGGCCTAGGTATTCCAGTTTTCTGGTTTGTATAGTGGTGATTAGTTCTGTTTCTTTACCAACCCTCTCCAGTACTTCTTTATTTGTAATTCTATCAGTCCATGATATTTTCAATACTCTGCGGTATAACCAGAGTTCGAAGGCCTCGATTCTTTTTAAATTACATTTTTTTAATGTCCAAGTCTCAGCTCCATATAATAATATTGAAAATATATAACAGCGAATGGTACGTAGTCTGATCTCCAAATTTAGATTTTTGCACGTTAGGAGTGGCTTCATTCGTATAAATGCTGATCTGGCAATCTCCATTCGTCTGTTTATTTCTACAGTATGATCATTGGTTTCATTGATCAAAGTTCCCAAATACTGATATTTTTCTACTTGTTGTATCACGTTACCATTTATTGTCAATAGGTGATGTATATTTTGTGGCCTTTTTGTGATCAGCATGTACTTCGTTTTTTTAGCGTTTATAGTAATTCCCATCTCAGCACTATTTATACTCAAGCTTTCGATAAGATGTAGATCCTCTATACTCGTTGCTATGATCACAGTGTCGTCTGCATATCTTAAATTATTAATTAATTTTCCGTTAACGGTGACTCCCGCTTCGATATTATTGAGCGTGTTTTGGAAAATTTCTTCAGAATATAAGTTAAACAAAAGTGGTGATAACACACATCCCTGTCTAACTCCTCTACAGATCCTCATTTCTTCTGAGTGTTGCCCATCAATTTGAACTATGGCACTTTGGCTCCAATATAATGTTTGCACTATATTTATGATTTTACTGTCAATGCGCTTGTTCATAAGTTAGAAAGTTCTACAGAAATCTAAACAAAATGCGCTAAGAGCTTAAGCCAAGAATAAGGAGCTGTAAGGATGTAGAAGGAAACATCCTAAATGATACAGCCTCAATCCTAAACAGATGGGTTGAATTTTTCGATGCAAAATTTAATGGCCATCATATCGAAGAAGCAGATAACACCCTAGCAAATCGAAATGACTGGAATCCTTTCAACCCAAACGAAAGACCACCTACCATCGAAAACGTTGCCCAAACCATTAAAAAGCTTAAAAATAATAAATCACCAGGAGTTGATCAAATTTGCAGTGAGCTCTACAAGAATGGTGGCGATGCCCTACTACAGACACTGCATAAGCTTTTACTTCTTGTTTGGCATAATGAGACCATGCCTTGTGAATGGTCTCAAGGCGTGATATGTCCGTTACATAAAAAAGGTGACCAGCTCCAGTGTGACAACTATAGAGGTATAACCCTGTTAACAACCGCTTACAAAATACTAGCAAATATTCTCTACGAAAGGTTACAAGTTTACACAGTGGGCATAATTGGTAAATATCAAGTTGGATTCACTCCAGAAAATTCAACAATTGACCAGATTCATTCAATAAGACAGATTCTCGAGAAAACATTAGAATTCAATATTGAAACCCATCACGTATTCGTCGACTTCAAGGCCGCATACGACAGTGTCAAGAGAACAGTGCTATACCAATCAATGCATGAGTTTGGTATACCAGAGAAACTTATCCGACTAACGAGAATGACAATGTCTAACTTAGAAGCCACTGTTAGAATACAGGGAGAGAGTTCTAGATTCTTTGAGATAAAGGATGGACTCAGACAAGGAGATGCTCTGGCTTGCCTCCTATTTAATATTGCCTTAGAAAAGGCAGTCCGAGATACACGAATAAGGGATGGCGGTACTATTTACAAAAGATCGATACAAGTCTTAGCCTATGCTGATGACATTGACATAGTAGGGCGTAGCAAGCGAGATGTTGAGCAATATCTCCTAGAATTGGAAACAGCGGCGAAACAGTTCGGTCTAGTCATCAACGAAGACAAAACCAAGTACATGTTGGTTACAAAGGATCCGATAGCAAATAAGGAACGAGAAACAGTCTTTGGAAGTCATACCTTTGGACGTGTTGACAACTTCACAAACCTGGGGTCGCTATTAACTGCTACCAATAAAACAAGCGAAGAAATCAAAAGACGAATAAATCTTACAAATAGGGCATACTATGGACTCCAAAAGCATTTCCACTCAAGAAACATTCAAAGAAAAACTAAAATTATTATATACAAAACATTGCTGAGGCCGGTCCTCACATATGGAGCAGAAACATGGACTCTAACGCAGAAGGCTGAAAGACTTTTGGGAATATTTGAGCGTAAAATACTCCGCAAAATATTTGGAGCTGTAAACGATCAAGGGCAGTGGCGCAGAAGATATAATTTTGAATTGTATCAGCTCTTTGATGAGCCAGATGTCATAACGTTCATTAAAACACAGCGACTTAGATGGGCTGGACACATAATACGAATGCCAGAAAATACCATTGCTAAAAAGCTAACCACAGGAACACCTGTAGGAAAAAGAAGCGGCCGACCGCGAATCAGGTGGTTAGATGGAGTAGAAACCGACTTACGAATATTAAAAATCAGAAGATGGCAACATGTTGCCAAAAACCGAACAGAATGGCGACGAATCTTAGAGTAGGCCAAGATCCATAGAGGATTGTCGAGCCAAAGATGATGATGATATTAAAAGTGTAGTAATTCAAAAAATCACTTTTTCGACAAATTGAAAGAATCTAATCCACTCAATATAATAAAAGATTTAAAAGCATTTGTAAATCATATTGGAAACACATTGGGTTACGAAGTATTTTGTTATCACATGAGTATTAATCTTGCATTCTTAATAGAAAAAAGGGATTTTTTGATTTATTACACTTTCGAAAAATAAAAACCGTCATGATTTCCAAATTATTTTGAATTAATTCACTTTTGTTGCAATTAAATTAAGATGCAACACTTTTAATCTAAATTTGTCAATGTGAATCATAACACAAAGTTGTAGTTTTTTATTGAAGTAGACAAGAGACTTTCAGAGAAGGTAATTATTAAAGTCATATTTTAATTTCAAAATTATATTATTTATTTTAAACAACGGATTTTATATAAAAAATATTTAAAAGCAGTAATTATTTTTATACAATGTTCACAAAGACATAAAAACTATCCACAATTAAAAAAAACTAAACTGAGATACAACAGAATATTCACAATAACATAAAAACTATTCGCAATGTAAAAAAAACTAAATTGACATCAATACATTAATTTAGGCCTAATCTAATACATAATCCTCTATTTACTTTAGCTTTCCTTTTCTGTACTTTCGTTTTATTGAAATCTACATCAGAGTAACTCGTTTTAAAGAAAAAGAAAGCATTTTTATATCATGCCACTTGGTTTTTATCTTCATCCCTAGTGAAATTTGTTCCCCACTCTTCCTGCAAAGCCTTGATATCAAAAAAACATGTCATGTGTCATGTCCACGACGGTATAAGGCGGACCAGTTTTTTTTGCAGTACGAATCAGTGTGGAATACTTTTGCTGAGTGTAAATGGGGCCCGACTTACATGTCTTTTAATTTGTTTTTCTATTACACTGTGAACATTGTCACCTTCATTCTGTGAGTGCCCCCGAATTAAAAACTTGTGTGTAATAGATTTAGAAAAAGACTCAATAAAAACTGGAAAAGAGCGGCGCAAGATAGACGGGGTTGGAAACATGAGGAAGGGGCCTATGTTCAGCAGTGGACTCTTGAGGCTGGATGATGATGAATAGATTTAATTCCCATGTAAAAAACAGCATATGCATAAGCACTCAATAAATATTTATTCTTTTGCTTTCCGCACCAATTATCAGTAGTAATATCCCTAGGACATTGATAACATACGAGATAATTTCATGACAATCGAAAGCTCGTTCCTTGCAACGAGCAACGAAAGCAACGAACTTGAGAAATTTGTCATGAAATTATGAGGCATTCATCAATGTCCGAGGGATATTCGGCGGATAATTTTTCGAAAAAAAAATCATAACTCAACATAAGTAACGAAACATTTATTTATTAAAAGTACAGTTAGTGAAAGTACAATTATTAAAATTTAAGTTAACATTAGATTCATTGCTGTTCTCTACTATAGAAGATCTATTACCACGCATAATATTTATAATCTTGTTGTGGTGTTCTTGATCGAGATTCAAGTATGGTTTTATCATCGAGCAAAAAGACAAAAGAGGGAATCTAATCCTTATGAAAAGGAGATCAAAAAAGTGGCCTCTGATGGCGGACATATCCGGAAATGCGATTGCACCAAATTTAAATTTTCCGACACCTATTAACAGTAGCTATATAATATTTTTCAGAATGTGTCTTAGACGAGAAAGTTTTAATTAATTATTAACGATAATAGTCACACAATTGTTAAAAAACTTCAATATAAATAAGATTTCATGTGACATTTGGGACAAACAATAACATAACCCAACTAAATTTGATGTCAAACAAGGAGAGAGACTCTCTTTCCTTGTTTAATGTGGCCTCTAAAGATCGCACTTCCTGTCTAACAATATTTTTGCTCCCACTACCTTTACATTCCCTCTTTTGTCTTTTTGCTCGATGGGTTTTGACATTTTGAAATTTATTTGGATGAAGTTGTCAAACTCGATCGTGTTGTCATAGGGATTGAAAATTGCACTGAATGCAATTATCAGTCTAATGTTGACATGATTGGGTGAAATTGTTCCACATGACACAAAATGACGAAATTTGAATGGTTGTTAGAACAGTTGACAAATTATCAGAGTAAAAAATGATATCACAAGTTTTACCTTCATTATGATTATCAGCTATTAAATTTTGTATATAACCAAGTACACAGCTTCTTATTTCTGTTGCCCACCGTTTGCCTTCTGTTTCATCCCAAAGTAGCATGTAACATTGTTCTCGCTTTTAAATCACCCATCGTAAAGTTGAAACAGTTTATTCTAGATTTATAAAAGAATAATGACACTTGGTCTTTAGGAACAGGCATCACGGCTTGTAAATAGTATACAGCTACTTTAACATCAGTCCTATTTTTGTCATTTTCTTTCTCTATTCTTGCCAATTGTTTTTCTCGTAAATGATTTTCATAATTTTAAAGTAACTTTTGTTTATCGTTTACATCAGCATTTTTCTAACTTTTACACAAATCACAGAGATCTTTCTTAGGAATATAAAAAGATATGTTAAATTCTGTGTGAAAGATACGATTGAAAGTTGTTTGGAAAGGAAAGGGCAAGTTATCTTTTTCACGAGTAAATTTATAGTCTCTATACAAATCTGATAATGATTTGTCAGACTGTATGAATTTACCTGATGTCTGGGCTCTTAAATAATGTGACTAAATTCTCGGAATATCATTTATAAATTTTGTAATACTATTTATAATATCAGAGCCTACAGTGGAGTGATTGTTATGTTTGTCTCTAAGTTACTCTTGAACTTAGCTTTAAAAATTGTTTTGCAAACCCATATACGAGTACCGTTCACTTCAAAAATATGCCTTATTCAGTGTTCTTAAATTTTGGGTGCTAGAATATCTGTTCTTAGATTTGATTTCATCTATATGTTGTAAGATCTAATCTGTTTGACGTTGAAGATCAGCCGTTTCCCAATAATTATTAAAAATGCGTTGCCTATCTTCGATATTAATATTATTATTACATCTCGAACAACATTTTTCACCACACCCTTCACGTACCATTCTTCCTGAAATTTCCTTTTTTGACTTAGACATAGAAACATATGCCTTACCTGAGTTTCGTAACTATTTTGCTACATTCATCTTCCAATTCTCGGGTTTTGGACTCTTTTTTTCTTTTCTTTTCTCCATTATCTCCAATATTCGAAATTGTAGACTCAGATGCACTGTCGTATAATAATTCTGTCGTAATAATTTGTCTGGTGAGACATCAAAATTTGGATCGGCATCGGAATCATCTATATTGCTTTTGTTACTTCGAATGGGAGATAATATGTAATAATTTTTTCTCTGATCCATATTAACAATATTAGAAGTACTTGGTAGACATAAATCATTATAGGTGTTTTCGTTGGAAATTGTTGGAGTTTCATTTAAAGATATGCTATTCTCGGGTAGTACATTTTCATTTCCAGGCATAAAACAAGATTTATCAAGTTGACGACTATATTGATTAGATTCCTTCGAATTTAATTCTAAAGAATTTGTGGTATCACGCAAAGGAATACTTTACCTGATGAAATAAGAATCTTTATTAATGTTCTTATTTTCGTGCTTTTGTAAAGCCATGTCAACAAATAAACGGCCACGGCTCGGCATTATACTGAAACAATAACGATAAATAAACTAAACCGTCAAAAGTGAAGCAACTCAAAAATATTTTTTATTAATTTAAAATGCCAATTTAATATTCCCAAATCTATAAAATAAAAATAAATCTCTTGTTATTATAAAATATTCAAAATTATCCCAAATATCAAGAACTAACTAAATTAACGTTACAAAACGAATTCAGCATTAAAACCGATTTAACTCTAAATTAAAAAAAGTTCATTAAAACTGTAGCAAAGCAAAATAAACTTTAAACAAATTAAAATTTACGCAACCAAACTGCTACAATTCAAAATGCTACTGTAAAAATATCTGAGTACACCAGCTACATTGTATTAAATCTAACTAATTATTGTAGTTTTATCAAGTTTACTCACCAAAACCGTTGCAACTCAAAATGCCACACTGTGAAACCGTACACTCTGCACGAAAGTCGGGAGCGTAACTAACAATGGCGCGGTTTTATAATGAGGGCGAACGCTTGTCGCTTGATCAATTAGCAAAAGCAATACCGACTTACAACGCCACCTGTGACACACTAGGGGGATACAATTACTGCAGTTTTATTGGCGAATACGTAATTATTCGAGGAATTCAAATATGACCTTAACTCAAATACTCACATTTTTGAGTTGCTACACTTTTAATGCTGGTGTGCGATATAGTTGTTAGAGAAATATAAGACCAAATACAGATATATAAATAAAAGTTAGATAATAAAAAGAAGATATTATTTGACAATAGGAAAACAAGAAATAGTAGGGGAAGTACGTAAAAAATGACATATGCTTATTATGGTTTTATTTGATCACAGCTCTTGCTTAATAACACACATAACTGTCAGATTCTACATCAATTATCACTGCTTTACTATATTTCATCGTTCCAAAAAATATTTCTGTGTAACTCAAAATTTTATTTCGTAGGCTAAGCAAGGGTAAAATGGAGTCATTTTGCCTCAACATGAGTGGCTTCTGACTATTAGAGTAATTGCAACAGATATTAAATAAAACAGAAAGAATACTTTTTTCAACTCCATTAAAAAAATTCTACTTACTTCAATTAAAACGCCTAAAATCACAACTTTTGCGAACAGAAATTAGCAATATTAGACGTGTTTTTATTCGCTACGTGCGTGACTAACGCGACACCTACCGCCTTTATCTGACAATTTTGGAGCCCCAATTTTCAGGTTAAACATATGACATATGTTTGACATTGTTAAATACATGCGAAATTGACAATTATTAATAAATTAGTTTTTTAACTATATTTTTTCAGTTTATGTACAAAATAAATGTAGTATTAAAACTGGGTTTCTCAAAATTCATCATAATATATCTTTTCAACTCCAAACGGAAAAGAAAGCGAAAAATCTAGTACTGGCAAATCAAGTTTTTCACGCAAAAGAGCATATAATTAAAAACAATAATAGTAAAAGTTATGATATAAAAGCTAAAGTCATCTGCAGTTAGCTTGAAGCCTTATGAAATATCATTCAAGCTAAATTATATAAATTTTTCCTATTTTAATTGCATAAAAATGAAATTTTGTGATATTTACTTTTTCATATTATTAGCACGAATTCATCTTTTTCTTTTCTCTAATTTATATGTAATCTTTGGGAACCTATAAACACTACACTTACTGTTTTTGCTATTATTAGCCCAATTAAACATGTATTTGCACACATTTTTGATAAAATCTATGCGTAAAAATATTTTGTCCAATATTCCAATTTTGTTATATTTCGCCGCTACGCACGCTGGCATCGTTTCAATCTACCCCTACCATGGTCACGCACGGAGCGAATAGGATATTTTAAAACTAGATTATAAAGGTCGATTTATACATATCCGTGCCGTGTCCGTTCCGTTTTATGACAGTGCGCGGCAAAAAAAAAAACAATAATTTAGAGGTAATGGATTTTAACAAGAGCTATGAGTCATGCCGATTTAGTACACAAGTTTACCTGTTATTTACAAGGTCACAGCTCTTGTCAAAATCCATTACCTTTAATCTTATGAGTATATTTATACATTGGCGTTTTCCGGACGGAAGCCGTCCGTGCTCGGCTTGGAATGAATCCCAAACGATATTTTTGTTTTCGGCACTGGCGATGCACGGATATGATACGGGCCGCACGGACTTGTATAAACACGATTTTATTGATTTGTGAACACGAGTGCAGACAAGCAGGAGATGTTGTGAGGTTATGTGGTTTTTATATGTATTAAAGAAAAAAAGAGTATCACGGCATTCGTGCGATTTTGTTTTATCGTCCACAATTTCTCTGTATATTTTAAATTCTCCTTTGGTTTTTCTTTTTTCCACTTAGGATGGTTTTCCATCTTCTTTGTTTTCCCTTTTTCTGCTCTTGTTCTTCCTCTTTAACAAGTTATAATGCCAACACGGTGAGATATTTTATTCAAGCAGTCATATTTCAACTCTCTTTTACACAGAAATATGTAATACAGTTTTCGTCTCTATTCGAACCGGTACGCACACTGCTATAATGCGAATGTATGTAAATATAACATTAAAAATACCCGGACTCGGCACTGACACGGTACGGACACGGCACAGATATGTATAAATCAACCTTTATGCTTGGCAGATCCACGTCTTTGTACATAAATGGCGTTAGTAGTACTAAATATAATAAACAACGCTAAACGGAAGTTTTATGAAAATTATGAGAAATATGTTAAGGGACCATTTTACCCAGGGGGCCCGTTTTACCCAATTTTCCCCTATAAAGGATCTATCGGTATTCCAGTAGGTAACGGTGCATTCCAGTAATTTGAAGTTATTTACCTATAAAGGATCTATCAGTTTATAATTTTTAAATAATAAGACAATGTAATTAAAATTTATGATATTTATTCAAATTCGAATTATGCGGCTAAAGAATATTTGTAACGGTGCATTCCAGTAATTTGAATATATTTACTAAAAGCTTTATGAGATCAAGCACAACTCCTGCAAGGTTTGTTGCTATTAAGTTTTCTATCAAGCTTGTACCAACTGTAAATAAATCTTCCAGCTCTGTACATTTAGACCCATTCACAGAAGATATCACCAACCCATCTAAAACATTAATATTTTTTAGTAAGAAAATAAGAAAGTACAGTTTTAATATACATTTCAGTTTATGTGTTTTAAGAATGTATGAGGAATTAATATAGTCCAATCGTCAGAGATTTGATCTCTAAACATCATACGAACAAGCTGAATTTTGCTGAGAATATCAATATGGGAACCACAAAAAAAAATGCAAAAAATTTATCTCTTTTACCGCCCAGCTTCCCTTTAAACCCCACATGGTAGAGGGGGAAAATGAAGAGAATTTTAAACAAAAAAGTTTATTAGCACTTTTGTGTAGAATGAACAGATCAGCAATTTTGAATGTCAGTTAGGCCCGCTAAATTATTTTTAAATCAAATTTGTATCAACTTGACGGTAAAAATTCGATATCTTTATATATATGAAGAGAAATTAATTTTAGAAGTCAGTCGATAAAATAAATTTGTAGGGTTAGGTAAATAAATGTCATAAATTAATTGTGTTTTTAGTGTTAGTGTTAGTAGACTGTAAATAAATGAAAATAAACATTACACTATATTCTCTCACAAAAGAGCAAATTACCATAAAGCTTAATAAGATAAAATGAGTTAAAAATTATAAAATTATATTACCTGTCTTACTGCAGCAACAAAGAACAACAATAAGAACAGCTGAAAAACATTATTTATTATTTAATGATAATTATTAGGTGGTTATTACTTCGTTATAAATATTTTTATAACAACTATAACATCATCATCTTACACTAAATGTATCAATTGTAATTGTACTGATATCCTTAGTTTCTTGAAGACGTTTGTAAACAGCGAAATCGGTAGTCCATTTTTCTTTCAACTTTAATAAAACCTATAACGGATTGACATAGTTTAAACTGAGTCATTTAAGATACGCTGATGACATTGTAATATTCGCTACAAGTTTCGAAGAACTACAGATCATGATGGCAACTATCTCAAGCTTCGGAAAAAGTAGGTCTTAAGATGAACTTGGAAAAAACAAAAATAATGACAAATACACCGAACATTAGAAAATAACGTTGAACGACATAAATTTAGAAACAGTAAGTGAATACATCTAGATATACCTAAGAAATACATCAGCCTCATAAAAATGACATTGCAGGGTTCAAAAGCCGCAGTCAGAGTAGATGGAGAACTGACTCCCCTGTTTAACATCAACATAGGAGTAAGACAGGGAGATGCCCTATCAACCATGCTATTCAACCTAGTTCTTGAGGCAGTCATCAGGAAAACCAATATAACCGGCCATATAAACATCAAATCAGTACAAATTACTGCATATGCAGACGATGTAGCCATCATTAGTAGGAATAAGCCACGACTAATGGAAGTGTTCAAACAAATTGATCCTGAACCAAGAAAAAGAGGTCTCAAAATAAACGAAGCAAAAACGTAGTATATGACAATCAAAAGAATAACTGACAATGAAAATAATATCACAATAGACAACTACACTATCGAACGAGTGGATGCCTTTACATATCTCGGCACAGAAATCAATCAGAAGAACTCCGTAAGTAGCGAAATTAATGCACGTATTTCCAGTATGTATATATCGTACATACTATGCTAATAAAAGATTGATCATATCGAAATTATTAGACAAAACAACCAAAATGACTATCTACAGAACACTGATTAGACCCGTAGTAACCTATGGATGTGAAACTTTAATAATGACGAAAAAAGATGAAGCCCAAC